CCATTAGGTGACTTAGAGAAGTTAATGCATAATATTCTTCTTATTCATTTTCCTGCACTTCGATCTCTCGACTTTGGCTTAAACTGTTACTGGATGAATTGGCCCATTACTGTGCATGTTCCTCTTACCTATCTGCGTTTGCTATTGCCATCCATGGATGATTTAGTTCGTATTATGTCGACACAACAACTTTCCTATTCATTATGTCAGTTACACGTTACAATTGGTAATGGTGGTTACCGCAAGTATTGTACTACGTCAATATTTCATTCATTGATTCCAATGGTTAATTTACATACATTCACTTTTTTTCAAGATTTTTTCTCATGGTTAAGAATTGAATGGACATTTATCGAAATGTTGACATCTTCGAATGTTATGTCTGTTCTTCGACGTGCCAATATATCTTATTTTATTAATATAGATGATTTAAAACGTATTCGTTCATCATCAATTTTTACCGATCATCGTCATATCGATGTTCATTTCGCCTTCCATCTCATTAATTGTTCTGAATTCCTCGAAATGACTCAATATATACCACGTGGTAATTGTTTTTATCCACGAGAAATTGTTGGTGCAACATTCGTTGTTAATGACTGGTCCTACAGACCAGACCGGATCGCTAATGACAATCATTTCGTAAGTCATTACCCTATTATATTTTTCTATATTTTTTACATCTTGTTTCAAGTTAATACACAGAAAAAGAAAATCTTTGTGCTTTAGTTAATAATCTAACTTTTATCTAATAATATGTTAATATTTTCTTTATATTTATAGGGTCGCGGTTTTCAATATTGTCACCATATGTGGTATACTCTTCCATGGACATTTGATGAATTTTTTCACAAATATGAGCCAGAGGGATGGATCACTAAAATACAAGTGTTTGAACAACCTCAAACAATGACAACAATTTATCAATCATTTCTTCGTACATTAGATACATCTAGTGAAAATATGACATCATCTATATGCTCTTTACCTCATGTAGCATTATCCGATTGTATTGAAACGTGCAATCTATTCTATTATAATACACCTTTTGCCATACATTTATCTGCTCTTCGTAATATAACTCTCGTCAACAGTATCAATTGTCTAAATGATTGTTCATCATTTGCAGCAACTATTCGTTCTATTCGTATTTACATTATGTATCACGCTTCTAACTATATGTTACCTGACTGGCCAGCAGTATTGTATTCACTCTCAACTTTGCAACAATTGAATTCGTTAGGTATATTTATGTATGATTTGCCAAAAACTGTCGATACTAATAACTGTCAAATGATTGCAGAAGAAGCACTTAGGGTCACCAATTTTGCTCTGTGCTTTCGACGCGCATGTAGTTCGAGTGCAGATGAAGTCAAAATCGCATTTAAAGATAATACAAAATTTATTAAACAATTATGTCATTCTATCCTTCGATTGTCGCTTAACAAACACCCTTATTATTCAGTTGAAGATGATGGCTGTGGACTGATAACATGGTTTTGATTAATAAATAAATCCGATAAAAACCGTTTTTAAATTATGTTGAATCTGATCGGATACCTTTTCATACAAATATTGTCAATTATTCTCGCTATTCATTTTGTTTTGAAAATTATATAAAATTGACTGTAAAATTGCGTCATCTAAAAAAAAAACATTTTTGCTACAATAATAAATGTGAAAACGAAAAATTATTTTCAAACAGTATTATTTGAAATATAGTAGTTGATTCTTGTATGGACATCATCTAAACTGTGATAAGATATTGATCTAAACCATTGAAGGTTTATCAATAAAATCTAGCAATGCATTTTCAGTTTGTTGATGAATAAGATTTTCAGGTATAAGAGAGGTTTTTTTATAAATATTAATTTTTACTTTTGATTCACATGACGTGTGTCATTTGATCAATAAATAAATATTAAACAGGTTGGTGATATCTCGTGCATCATGCATGTTACTTAAAATAAGCAGATACTGAATAGAAATTCTCGGAGTTAGAAATTGAGTTTCAATTATATAATGAAGTTAATTCATTAAATAGAACAAAGCTCATTATAATGTGTTCCACGTTGTCAACAATGGAAAGTATGTCTTTGATCAATAGTCATCACCTTCGGCGTTAGAATTATCAAGAAACTTTTTGAATTTCATATGAAAACAATTGTCTTTCTCAAAAGACTGGTAGGTAAAATCAAGTGTTTTTTCATTTGTCAAATGTTTTTTAGTCGAAAAGGTTTTTTGCAACATTAATAGGCAAAAGCAAGAAAAAATGTGGATCTGTCCTGCAATCTTGATTAACTCGAAACAACCCTGTGCATCCATCTTATACTTGTCCACCTTGTCCACCGTTATACTTCGATGTGCACCTCTCTTCTTTTATAAAATGTGCTTCGTTCATGAGATAATATTAATTGAATTGCAGTGCATAAAATTCGAAGGATCGAATGTAAAAATATTAGTATACATATTTACACGTACACATGCAATGTTGCACAAAAGGATTCTCGTATAGTCATTAAAAGCAGTAATACGCGTGCTCATGCATGTCATAGGCACGTGCAAATCACACATGTCCACGTGGTGTAGTAATTTACCTGACGAACATCGAAAGTAAAAAAATATCTTGTTATCTTCCCTCATCCTCTGTTCGACATTTTTACTAATCTCTTTTTTTCCACCAGAGTCTAATTTACCGTTTTTGTTCAGATTTAAATTAAAATGAAAGTTGATTTTAAAAGAAATCCTAATTTGTTTTTAGTTTTTCAAAGAATTTATGTAAACGATAACTTACGCCATCTATACAACTAGTTCAGTCCAACGTTAGATATACTCATCTCAACTCAGGAATATACAACGTCATACTACTAATGTATTTTTTCTCGTGACTAGACCCCGTCGGGTAGGACCCGGACCCGGACCCTACCCGGACCCGCACGGGTCCGGGTCTGAAAATTTTGCTTTAACCGGGTCCAGGTCTGAAGAAAACTTTGATCCATACAATTTATTTTGAATTTTTTTAAAGTTTTGTTCGTTTTATACAAAGAAGAGATCAAATGTATTTAAAAATAGATAAAAAACAACAAAACCCTTCTTGACTATACTATCTAAACTAACTTGTCATTGTGTTTGGATCCAAAAAATTTAAGCGACCGGCTCCGGGTCCGGGTCCAGCAAACTGTAAACGGGTCCGGGTCCGGGTAGAAAAATTTTAAATGACCGGGTCCGGGTCCGGGTCCAAAATCCTGGGCCAGGGTCCGGGTCCGGGTCCGGGTCCAAAAATTCTGGACCCGACGGGGTCTACTCGTGACCTAGTTTCTTTTAAAGATTCATATTTTATTTGCGCATTTTTATCTTTTTAAAATATTAGTCATATTATAATATAGTAAAGATTTAATTTATAATTTATGACAATTGTGGAACGAATTCGTCGTTTATTTAATAAAGAAAATAGGTTTACAGTAAATTCTATTAATATTATTCGTCGAAATGAGAATATTATATTAAAAGTAGAACACATTTATCTTTAATCGTCGTCTGTCATATAATTAAGTCCTATAGAGAAGATCTTATTGTACTTTTAAATGAATCATCATCATACATATGCTAATGATCATACTTGATTTCACTCGCCATATTTTCAATAAAAAAAAAAAACTACTCTTGCTCTTTTTGGAAAAAAAGACTTTTTCGATATCATCATGTAAGAATTCCATCAATACGGATTTACATTTTCTGTGTTTGCCTATTAGAGTTTTAGTTATGAAAGGAACGACATCGTATTCATATTCAGCGCAACAATTTGCATTGAATAGTATATGGAATAATCAACATTAATTTTGATCCTGATACTTCTTCATCGTTATTTTAGAATTTTCTGTTCGATGTTTCTCATCAGATCAAAATTGACGAAAATTAGTTTTGCATATTTATTATACTATTACTGAGAATTTTTTTGCTGATTCTGAATATAATATTCGCTTTTTTCGGAACTGAAGTTCTGATGGTCAAAACCTTAGAATATAAACCTGTATTTATTGCGTTCTGTTATCATATCGACCAGATCGAATATTTCAACAATCCAAGAATGTTTTGCATAAAACAGGAATAATTTTCTATTGAATATATGAAGAGTAAAATTCATGGAAAATATTTGAATAAATAGTGAGACTAATGGGACTTAATACTTTTGATGTATTTCAATTTTCATTGACTTTTGTTATGTTTTTAAGCTAATTTTGCTAAATTTGACTCCAAAAATATCGTTTGAACATATTAGAGACATTATTTCTAAAAAGTAACTCGGTGAACTCAGATTTCGAACTGCCAACATCTTTCTCATTCTATGGTCACATACTTACACCTCGTTGACATATATCTACCAGTGAAAATATGGTTCCCATCGATATTAATATTTCCTTTTCATCTCTGACATGACTATATTCTTGAATATATGCGAACGGTTTCAGACGAGTATTTTTTGTTTGTATTAAAATTTTAAAAATAACCGATCTTTCATCTTGTGATGAGTCATTTGAACAAATATTATAACCAGAAAATTCAACAGCTATATTATAAGCACTTGTTGTTGAAAGATATGAAGTTGTTAAAATAGGTCTTTCATTATATTGAACTAATTTTTGGTATTCTATTGATGACATTCTTTGACCACGATAAACAGTGATAAACTGTGGTATCCAACAAAGACTATCATGATAAAGTCGCGTCAGTTGCTCATGAAGATCCTTCAGATAATATCGGATTTTCGATATTAATAGAGGATGTTGTGTTCGACATATAGTATTTACAAGTTTTGATGGAAAACCAGATGGCCGAGTATACCATTGAATGGCCTCATCTGAGCGATAGTGACGACCAAATTGAATTACATATTGTAAGAGATCATTTCCCCGACAAAATTGAACAAATTCGTCACGTTCGCAATTTCGAATTGGGGCAGTATATAAAATACTCATCGTTAAACAATGACGAACGAAATTTGGATTATCTGGTAATACGATTCGAAAGGGATTTTCAGTCATTTTACTTATTTGGATCTTATTAGGAAACAAAAACAAGGAATTCTCTGCTTTATCTGATTAGTAGTATATTCTAAGCAATATACTAGCAAAAGCATGTATATATACATAAGAACTTTTTAATGATACATTGGGAAAAATCATTCATCGTCACTTGGAAATTTGATCTCTCAAGCATGAGTCATTTCCAAAAAGGGTTAAAACCTACAATGTATAGTCAGCATTGGTTATATCCCATTGATGCATCGTAAATATGAATTATCAAGAGAAAATAAATTTGCATGTGCTATTATTTGTCTTTTTTTATATTCTTAAGTAAGCTAAAAGAAATTTTTTATTTACTAAATGTGTTGTCTGAGGTGACCGCTCACTTCGGTACACGACATTTCGTCCCTTACTATTCGTCCCACACAATTCGTCCCAATTACATTTCGTCCCTTTACAATTCGGCCCCTTACTATTCGTCCCATTTACAATTCGTCCCATTTACATTTTGTCCCTTTACAACTCGTTCCCTTACATTTTGTCCCAATTTCATTTTATCCCCTTACAAATCGTCCCAAATTTATTTCGTCCCTTTACATTTCGTCCCGTCCACATTTCATTTGATAATTCAATTAAGATGAATCTTTAGTTTCAGCTATTCAAAAATAGGTACGTCTAAATCTTATTGTTGTGTTTACTGAATCATTACGATTTAGAAAGACCAATAAAGAATGGATAGATGTCCTCTATTCTTTCTATACATTTATCGAGATTAATTTTCTGTTCGTCATTTGATCACGTGCATTAGTAGCTATTGTCTGCAATAAATTCATATAATAGTCGAACAAGAATGAATAAAATTGAAGTGCTCAAAAGTTCCAGAGGAAATTCCATGATATATTGTTCGGGATTTTTCTATACCCAACATAGAATTACTGAAGAAAAGCGTATATTTCGATGTACAGATCGAGATTGTCGTAGTAAGTATCAATCGCAAAATATAATCTGAAAATTCTTTAATATTATATTTTTCGGTCGTTGTCAAACAAATATCCAGATGCAAGTTTTCATTAAAGAACCATCCAAACATTCACATGCACCTGATCCAGATCGACTTCACATAATTCGACTTAAAAATGAGATTAAACTTCGTGGTACATCATCAGATGAAGCACCAAGTACAATCTTATTTGATGTATTACGTTCAACACCATTGACAGCAGCACCTGGTTTACCTACGAATGATGCATTATTGCAAACAATTCGTCGTGAACGACCAGCTATACAACTTGATCATCATGGTCGTTTACCTCTAATATTACGACAAACTGATCGCGGTGAAAGCTTCATCTTGTATGAAGATGATTCTATGGTTATATTTACATGTGATAAAAATCTTTCGGTATTAAAGGAATGTAAACATTGGTTCATGGACAGAACCTTCAGTGTATGTATTCTTTTTCCTAACTTATTCTTGAGAGAATTCGATTATTTAGATTTGTCCCAACAGTTATTATCAATTATTTACTGTTCATGGAATGTATTCACTTCAAATTATTCCTTTTGTATATGTTTTACTTATTGGAAAAAATACTAATGATTATAATAGTCTTTTTGAACAGCTCTTATTGCACTATGATTATGAACCCGAGTCTGTTTTAGTTGATTTTGAGAGTGCTACTCTTAAATCAACCAAGACAATGTTTCCCGAAGCTATTCAGATAGGTAATTTATATACGACTTTTTTGAGCCAAAAATTACTTTTGCTATAAGCTTAGGTTGTCTATTTCACTTTGGACAGTGCTTGTGGCGAGAAGTACAATCATTAGGTTTACAAAATAAATACACGAATGATGATAAATTTCGTATAAACGTAAAAAAACTAATGGGACTTGCATTTGTACCTGTTGATGATGTACTTAAAGCTTATGCATCTTTAGTTAATGATTTTGATGATGAAGATTATCTTTTACTTGATTATTGTGAACGAGTATGGGTTGGTGAAAAGAAGGGAAGAGGTCTGTGTCATTTTAGATCTATATCTTTGATATATTTAATACTATAACGTGAATTTAGGTAGCCAACGTGGTAAACCAAGATTTAGTTTACAATTATGGAATAATTATGATCGAGTTATACAAGACTTGCCAAGATCTAATAATGCCATAGAGGGTTGGCATCATGCATTCAATAATCGTGTATCAATCAAACATCCTTCTATAACTAAACTTGCAAAATGTATACTACGTGAACAAGCGAGATTTGAAACAGATATTGAACGACTTCGTGCAGGTGAACTACCAAAGAAAAAAAAAAAAGAGTTTATGTTGATCTTGATGCACGATTGAAAAGAGTCGCACTGTCTTATGATGTCAAAAATATCGAGGAATATTTAACTAGAATTGCTATGAACTTGAAAATATGGACTTGAATTTACTTTAATAAAATTTTTTAAATATTATTGTAATGTAAATTGATAGATACTGTATGGGACGAAATGTAAAGGGACGAAATAAATTTGGGACGATTTGTAAGGGGATAAAATGAAATTGGGGCAAAATGTAAAGGGACGAGTTGTAAAGAGACAGAATGTAAATGGGACGAATTGTAAATGGGACGAATAGTAAGGGGCCGAATTGTAAAGGGACGAAATGTAATTGGGACGAGTTGTGTGGGACGAATAGTAATGGGACGAAAAGTAGGGGACGAAATGTAGGGGTACCGTTGTCTGAATATTCTTTTAAAATAAAAAAAAAATATTATATGATTTCTTTTTTTGTGTCAACGTTATACATAAAATATCAATGCGCAAATAGTTTCTTTTTGTTTTTTTTTATTATAACTATTCACTATTTAATATTTTTTAAATTTCTTGTTGAATGTTGACCATGTGACTTGATGACTTATTCATATGTATGTAACTGTTGGTGAATGAAAACACTATGATTTTTTATTTCTGTTCTATTGATAAAATACAACGGTAACTAATGCAACGAAAATCACGACTCACAATGTCAATAGCATGATTCAAACATCGATCAATATGTTAAAGATTATACCTGAATTTTTGTTTTTAATTATTTAATCTTGCTTAATGTTTAGAATCTGTGTGATTTTCTCATCCATCGCCAACTAAATTAATTAGAATCTCTTATTTCATCATTCATAAAATTTTCGAAGAATAGTTTCATTAAATTCAAATTCTAATAATTCTAAAATTAACTGTATTTAATCCTTATTGACTAGAATACGAGTAACTGATGAGATTGAATATTGTTGTTCTCTTCAAGCATCTACATTTCTATTCCTCTCTAGGATATTAATTGACGTACAATTTCTCAGTCGAAAAATTTATCCCAGCTTTCACTATTCAGTTTTATGTCAATTGTCATCAAATGACTGTTATTAAGAGAGAATATACTTAACCATAAGGCGCTATCCTACTTACTTGACAATATGACTAAGAAGTAGGTTTCTATGAGACTAAGGAAAGTTTAAAAGAACTTCGACTTAATAAGGTATTCCATCGAATTTCAGACCCATGTCTGAATATTTCTACGATAAATCAAATCAAAGAATTTACATCTGAAATTTGATCCACAGATAGAATTATTCAAATCTCTTGAAAGTTGCATTCGAAACGAATTTTTCTTTATCAACATAATTAAATCATCGAATAACTTCGAAGTTTGTGAAATGTCACTGTTTTATGAAGAGAAAATAGAAACGGAATTTCAATTAGTTATGAAAGTCTCGTATGATGAATCAAAAATTCAATAAAACAATTATAATTCTTCTATAATAAGCCATAGTACTGGATTCTTTCAAGTTTTCTTCAAGTCTAATAGAGACCTACCTGTAAGCTACAATACAGAGTGCGATCATAGGCGATGTTTAGTTATAAAAGTATTACCCGAATAACTTACTATTAATTTTCATTCAATTCAATGTAGAATATAACGACATATTGTTGATGATATAAATATATATACGGAAGATTAATAGTCAAGGTATAAAAATTTAGTTTCTTATATTTGAACATTAGTTAAACAGTTGATTAGTATATAAACTTTTCAAAATTATGTTTCGTATGACAAAATATGTTGCTATTTTAATATCATCAACTGGTAAGAACAATAAAGAAATCATCTAAAATTTCGCAACACAACAAGTGATTCAAGGTTCAGTTAATGCCTTCATGTTTCTAAAATTTTGTACAATTTCGTTGAATATATACCCACTTGGCTCTGATGCTAAACAGAATAATTGTCGATACATACATGGATGTCTTTTTTCCATTATGATGGCACATCTTCATTTTTTTTCATAATTTACTCTGCTTTTGATGTATTCAATTACCTCATCGTTTGAATTATCATCATCTGTAGATGAATTTCGGTTTCAAACGAATTCATTCAATAAATCATCCACTGCTGTATCATAACGTTTCATTCTTTTATTTCTTGCATCATTATCAACCTTTGTAAGTTACTTCTGATGATTCTTCGCCAAGTCGAACCCGAATGTGATCTCATGCCTGGATGCGAACTAACTTGGCAAGTTTGTACCTGGACTCATTCTATGAACCTGGCATTCGATCTGGTCGCAGGGCACTAATTTCAATAAATTCCTATTGACATACGTTTTCATTCATGAATAACTTCAAAATTCTTATCAAAGAGATCAATCTCACATTATTGTCTGACGTAATCGAATTATCCAGTACATTACAAAACTTAAATAATTTTAACTGTATTTTCAATATTTTATTGTATTAGAAAAAAAAGATAAATTAAATAATACAAGACGCTTCGGTTTTTTTATTCTTAATTTCCTTCTTTCTTTTAAACGACAAAAAGAAAAATGAAATCGAAAAAAATATTGAATCCACACCAAAATAATTATTTTCAAATTTGAGGTGAACGAAAATCATTCATCTGTATGAAATAATGTTGATCTACGTAAATGCTGAGTCAAATCTTTTATTATACGTATATGCCAATTTGATTTTGAACTAATCCGTTTATTATTATGCCGTCAATGTATATCATGATGGCATTGTTATGAATGACTAGCTGTTAATATACAATTTAAACGTATTGAATATTGACCCACATCATCAGATGATATGCTAAGTCGTTTTGGATTAATATCAAGGCTTTCTAAAAACCCAACAAGAAAAAAAAACCGAATTTTCTAACAATTATCTCTAACTTATGTACGACACATACTTGATAAGCCATTCGTATTGTTTTTGGTGTAAGTGATTTGCGTATGAGTTTGGGTGTGAGTGGGTGGTAGAGGTGGCACTTATACTTTCGCTTTCTTTTTTGCGTTGAAAATAAAGAGCTAGATTTCTTATAGTATTTCGACGAGAAAATAGTTAAAGAAGTCAAATAGAAAGTCGAAAGAAACTTGATTAATGAGTTTGTTTTTGAAAGACGAATTACATATTTGGAATTAGCACTAAATTTGGAGTAAAACTGGGTATTTTTTTCCAGTCAAAAACGACTTCGTTTTTTACGAGTTATTTTGCATATGTGGGGATTCGGAACTATCCGAAAAATTTTTAGATATTCTATTGAATCACAACTTATTAGATGCAGAATTGAATGCTAATTCCGAACATGTATTTTTTTCAAAAAAAAAAATAATTAATCAACTTTCTCTCGACTTTCTTTTTGACCTTGCTCAATTTTTTCTCGTTAGAATGCCATAAAAAATCTAGTCCTTTTTTTCAAACATGAAAACAAAAAAGAAACTTTTTCAATTCTCCATTCCTAAACAAAACGAAAGTTTATACTTTTCTTTCTTTTTAGAAAGAAAGCGAAAATATCACTCCTAATTTTAGACGTTTAAAGTTTGCACTAGTTTTCACAGGAATATTAATTTGGACAGCCAAAATACGATTTATTGAAAAAAATCTGATTTTGAGATAAATTATAGACACTACCAAGAACGTAATAATTACGCTTAACAAAGTTTTATGCTAGATAAAAAACATATTTTTGCATACAACTTTATAATGGAATGAATGTGAATTTTTTATATGAAACCTTTAGATGTATGTAATGATCAAGTAAAATTATTAAAATTCTGTATATATTGCTTCCACTGAAACTAATTGTAATAATAACTAAACGTAATCAAAGAATGACACTAAGATGTTCATTTTGATATTGGCAACGGTCTCTATAAACATCTGGAGGCCATAGAAATTCTGTTCCTAAGTTGTTGTTTTGAATTATATCATTGATAGTTCATAGTTACAGAAAAAAAGTACTTTTGTAACATTATCGAACAATATAGGAAGTGAATCCTTTCGTTTTGATAAAGCCGTGGAAAATGAACAATTTTTTTTTTGATAATATAAACTTGTTAATGATGCTAATGGCTTGTTGTTTAAATTAGTGTCAAAATTTCGCTCTTTTACTACGTAAGTTATGAAAGATTTCATCATTTTCTTCATGAAACATACCTTTACCAATATCTTTTAGCACACTCATTGAAATCATTGCATCGATGCTGTCAGTAGACTTTCAATTCATCACGAAAGATAAAATCTTCTTTATTACACTGCTCTGAAGATAACCATAGACAGAAATATATTTCATCATAGTTCGATGGATACTTCTTTGCAAAATCATATAACAACATTCCAGTAGTACGTTTTGTATATTCCATCTCGATAGACAATGTAATTAATCCTTTCTCTTATCTCAGAACTATCGTCTTAGCATACTTGGTTAATGAACCACATCTTTCCTATCCATCATTTTATTTCCCCGATTTTTACCTATTCATCGTTGGTTACCTAAACTTTCTTTATATATTATCTCCAACTATTAAAAATAAACTCTCAAAAGAACTTTCTTAAACATATGTATTGATGAAACGAATCATTTTTTTGCTAAAATGAAATCAACAAACTGATTGCTTCATCGAAATCATTTCGCTTAAGTTTTGAGTTTCTTCAAATATTCGTTGTTGATATTTTCAAATAAACATGATCGAACGCTTGAAAAATGAGTCTACTAATCATTTTGTTTCGATTTTACAAAAGATCCGATATTGATTGATCAAGATTTAGGAAGTCAAAGTGAAATTGAATCGATTCGACGAAGAAACAAATCAGATTAGAAATCAATTCGCAAAAAATATCGCTTGACGGCAATAACCTGGTATATGACATATATTTCTCTATAGAATTATAAGTAATGAGAATGACGCACATAAATAACCTTAATATTAATCATGTCTTTTTAGCAACCGTTTTCATATTTATATTTTTTCTTGCTTGTCCTTTCGTTCCCATGAAAAACATCGATTATTCACGTCGATTCGAAGCATCAAACGTGAAGTAAGATGCAAGTAAAAGCTATGAGACAGACGAAAAGATGTAGAGAAAAACGCATTTGATTGCTTTATTGATTGATAACTTAATTGCAATAGATTTGAAATTATGAGAGAATGACGAAAACAAAATATGTGACCTTCAAGTAAATATAAACGACACACCTGTATATCGACAGAACACAACAACAAGAAAAAAGGATTCATGAAAAACATATTTCAGAACCAGTAAATTGAATATAAAACAAATTTCTATCTTAGTATTTGTTTCATCATAGTTCATCCCGATGGAAACTATTGACATTGATTTTGGCCATTTTTCTTGTCATGTTTGTCATTACAACCATTGTTTTGGCCGTTTTATATGGTATCGAACGAAACCAAGCAAATAATCAACAAGTAGCTGGTAAAACATAATTCAAAAATATATCATTTGACTTTATCTTCAAATAAGAATCTTTTCAGCTCAAAACAATGATTTATGTCTCACTCCATCTTGCATCAAAGCGGGTGAGAAGTTCTTCTTTTTCAATAGAATCAAAAAAATGACAAAACTCTTATTTATTTCAAGCCAATTCTCTGCTTCAAAGTATTGATGAAACAGTTAATCCTTGTGATAATTTTTATCAATTTGCTTGTGGCACATGGATAAAGAATGCTCGAATACCAGATGATGGTCAGTTATGTTGTTCTCTTCATCCTTTGAGTTGTTTGCAAAATAGGAAAACAAACAATTTTTAGCTTTCGTATTAATCAATAGAATTATGAGAAAATATCGGCAAATAAAAAAAATTGATTATTTCCAGCATTTTTTTAAATGGAGTTCGAATTCGAAGAAATAAAAAACGTTTTCGATTCATCTTAACTGTTTATGTTGATTTTAAATGGTGGTTCTTCAAGATTTTTGGGACTGTTTTCTCGGTCATAGAGGTACACACCCTACACACCCTTTCTAAGAGTGAGAAAACCAATTTCAAAAAATTTAAAGAACTTACTATGGATTCAAATTTCTCAATTCTGAAAACCTACTCTTGACTTTGAAAAAATATTTTTTCTAATGTTACTTATTAGGCGAAAACAATAAAGCTCATAAGATTTCTGTGATCCGTCATCTAGCAACGTAACGGTAATTTTTCTTAGCCTAGAATGAAATTGTTTTAGTTTATCCTTCATAAAAGTTGAGTTTAATGCTGAAATAAGTCTTTAAAGTTTTCATTCAATTCTTGCTGATCAAAGTTCGAAAGTTAAACACGGTTAAATCAAAAAAGCATTTGAACCGAATTCGATTTTTCAACAAGGCTTGAAAACTTCAATTGAGTCAAAAGATTGAACAGAAAAATTCGTTTTGCTTGAAATAGAATTAATATTATTCTTTGTGGGACATATGTTGACAAAAATTGAATTGATTTTTATTAATTGTAGACTCGGTAATAAGTGCTTTATCAGGAGCCAATAAGCAATTGAACGATCTTCTCATGGGTAAGATCGGTAGTAAATCTATTTATTTGTTGAATGAATTATTTTTGAACAGACTTTCTCTCATTATCATCAACAAACGAAACCAATGAACTCAATTCAATAATTAATGCTCGTCGTCTATATAAGTCATGCGTCAATCAAGAAACGATTGAAGCAGATAGTGTTGATTTTTTACTTTCATTGATTAATAATGAATTTGGTGGATGGCCAATCTTACAAGGACCAATATGGAATAATTCAACATTTAATCTTTCGAATTTATTACTTAAAATGGCTGAATACAATCTAAATTCAATCTATGTGGTCATGACGACAGTTGATGATAAAAATTCATCAATGCATGCTATTGGAGTAAGTCAATAGATGAAAACTATTTCTTGTTAATTGTTATTGATAAAAAACAACAAGGTTGGTCAAGGTACTCTTGGTCTTGGTGAACGTCAACTTTATGAAAGTGAAAGTGCTTTGACGAACAGTTATCGACAATGGATACAAGATTTGGCTTTAATATTGACCAATGTGACATCAATGATTGACAATGATGTCACTTCAATATTTGAATTTGAAAAGAAAATCGCGGAGGTTATTGCTCGTTGTCAATTGATTTTCTGTTTGATTTCCTTTTTTTTATCTATTCAGTACTCTTTGACAACAGCCGAACAAATTGCTCATCAGAAAGATAATATTCGAACAACTGTAAAGAATCTTTCAAACATCATTAATAGCAGTGTCAGTCACTGATTATTGTCATTGATTTGTATTTGTCAAGATATTTCTGTTTAGATTGATTTTAGCAATTATATTCGTCGTGTCTATGAGTTGGTCAATGTTACTTTGAATGACACAGATCTTGTCATCGTGGGTGAAATTGAATATTTAAGGAATGTGTCGAAATTGATCACTCAATATTCTTCACGAACTGTACGAAATTACTTTATTTGGAGTTTTATGATGAAAATAATTGACTATATGCCAAAACGATATCGAGCGACAAAACAACAATTTACTCAAATATTGGAAGGCGCTGTTGCTGAAGTACCACGATCTCTGACTTGTAGTTCAAATGTTAATTCTCTAATGGGTTTTGCTTTATCCAGACTCTATGTTCCTAAATACTTTGATGAAAAAGCTCGTAATGAGGTAAATAAATGAATCAATTAGATTTATCTCTTCGATTCATTGCTTTATAGTCATTGATTATGGTTGAAAATATTCGAAATACATTTATCGAAATGATCAATCAGTCAACTTGGATGGATTCGATTTCCAAAAACAAAGCTATTGAAAAGGTAATATGGATTATTACCATTGAAATGTCTTATTTTAAGATATAGGCTCGAGCGATTCTCGAGAATATTGGTTATCCGGACTATGTGTCCAGTGAGAATATCACTAAACTCGAAAATGAGTATGTTGATGTGCGTAATCAAAGAATTGATATCGTCATTAAGTCATTAATTGTTTTCTTTTTTCCTATTCCAGTACAAATTCAACTCATCTTATATTAGAAATGGTTTGACTATTGCGAAATTAACAGCACGAAGTAATTTTCGTCTCGTTCGTCAATTTGTCGATCGTCAAGTATGGGTTATGCCACCTACTAGACTCGAAGCTGCTTATAACCCATTTTATAACTCGATCTGTAAGAGTCTTTTTGCTGATGAAAGTAGATTTTTCTTTTCGGTTTTAATCAGTGGTTCCAGCTGCAATTCTTCAAGCGCCCACTTTTGATAAAGATTTACCTAAGTGAGTTCATCTTCTCCTTTCTTTTCCAGAAATCAATCAATTTTTTTTCATTGAAGATATCTCAATTATGGCGGTAAGCATTAGTTCATTTTGATACGAAATAAACAAAGATGTTTTTTTTCTACAGGTATCGGAACTATAATTGGACATGAAATAACGCATGGGTTCGATACGATTGGTCGACAATTTGATCGAAATGGAAACCAAGTATCTTGGTGGACAAATCAAACAATCGCTGCTTTTGATAAACAAAACGAATGTTTTATTCAACAATACAGTAATTACACAGTACTCAGTCTGAATCGCCAGGTTTTTCTTTCTTGTTCTATCTGACTTCATTCAAAGAATTGATTTTTGTTAAGGTCGATGGTGCCTTAACAATTAGTGAAAATCTCGCTGACAATGGTGGACTAAAAGAAGCTTTTTTTGTAATCATTTTTCATTATTTAATTGACATTACAACATTGATATTTACTAGGCATATCGAAAGTGGGCTCAAGAGAATCCAAATGCTGATAAGAAACTACCAGGTCTAAACAAATACTCAAGAGAACAACTGTTATTCATAAACTATGGACAAATATGGTGTGCAAAAATAAGAGATTCATTTATGAGCAATTTTATTTTGGCTGATGTTCATTCTCCTCCTCAGTTTAGGTAATTTTTTATTGTTCTTATTTTGAAATATTGACAAAAAAAACTTATCAAATCTTTCAGAGTTATTGGTTCAACATCAAATTTTGTTGAATTCGATCGTGCATTCGGTTGTAAACCAGGTCAATTAAATAGTCGAGTGAACAAATGTATTCTTTGGTAAAATTCATTGTACTTCTCTTTCAAACTATTTATTTATTAATCGAATCAATCGAATATCAATTTTAATATTAACTAGAGATAATATCTACACATTATAGAATCGATTGATCTTTTTTTCCCATGTGGGTCATCATCTGGAAAAACTTTTGTTAAACAATGTTTTCAATCAGTGCTCAAGTATAGAAAGAGATATCCATGGTTTGGAAAATAATAAGTCTACGGTGATGATCATCTAAGAGTTCTTCTCATTTCTTTTCAAAGGAATCTATTTAGAAAATTCTTACAGAAATCGAATGTGAAATAAGTGTTGGAAAGAACTCTTCAAACACATTAGACTCATTTTGCATTTGAACGATAAGCAATTGGCTTCGATTTTGATTGTTTATGTGTTACACCACCGATGAATTGTGCACAATATTTGAAAATTGATTGAGTTGTTTTTTTGATTGAATTCATGTTCGAGAAAAATGTTCACTCACGAATGATTCAATGGATCTATTTATGTGTGGGATATTCAGATAGCATATTATTTATGCGCGTATGAAACTTATATTTCAATATATTGACATGTGCATTTATTTATGAGAAAAATTTTTAGAGAAGAAAACTAACGATATCTCGTGAAAGTTAACGATTTTCTATTGAAATCTATGGATGGGAAGAGATCATGTTGTTTGCAATATTAGCTCAAACAAGAAGTCTCATAAATTGCTATTTTACTATCTCCGTAACAAAGTATTTGCTGATGACAAAAGATTTCAAGGACATTATACAACTTCATATAGATTTCACTCTCTGACATTCAATATCAAAAAAGTGACTGCTTTGCAACTACAATTTCAACAGATTCTCCAAAAATCTTTATAGATCAGAAAACAGGATTCAGTGATATTCAGTTTTCGACTACATCGAGCGTGGAATATTCCATAATTATCTGATAAAATCCTCAAATGATTCATAGTTCTAAATCGAAGTCAAACGAAACAGAGTCATAAATAAAAAATATGAGAATCTCCGACAATAGTGCACTAGATTAACTTGTAATTTTAGTACAGAAAATCAATATATTCAGCAACTTGTATTTCTATATTGTTCAAAATGATTTCTTCTTCCATCAACAGAAAAAAGAATTGTTTCAGGTACAACTCATTTCGATGAATAAAAAAATATGATGAAGAAAAAGAAAGACTGACATGCTTTTTCAAAAGAACTTCCAAAATGAAATCATTGAGCATCGCCATCTTCAACAGTATTAATTTGGGTTTCTTCTGGACCTCAGATAGGTTGAACGTATGGTTCTGACAGGACGGTTGCTCTTCAGAAAATATAGATGGCAGCAAGTATAAAAATTGCTGCCTTGTATGTCATTTTTTATAATGCCTATGAATAAATAGAAAAACCTCGAGTCTACAGTTGTGGCCTTATTCTAAAATTCCACAAGATTCTTTGGAATTCTAGAATAATTGTTTACTAAGTCTACACTGAAAACTCTAGCTTCATTAGTTTATTCTGATTTTATGTAAAAATTTTGCTAGAACATTTGAAATAATCCAACGTTTCAGAATAACCAGAACAATCAGATTTTTGAGAAATTTCGAAATATTACCCAGATACGACCGTACAAAGCCGCTAACGATACTGTAAAACGACCACGTTTCTAACATACATGGTGCTATACGTCAACGTTTACCATCGTAATATCAGTGGAAACAAACATATGCGGCCGTTCTCAGAAAATCAAAAACATCCCAAGCTCATCATTATGACGACCATAAACGACCAGAAAAAACGTTACATTATCTTTTTCAATCACGATCCAATTAACTACATTTAAAGTCATTTAGCTTTTAGGTTTCCCAACATAAAAACCTTGAAAGACCTTCAAAAGCTATTCCAAAAAAAAATTATCTTCTTGAAAAAATGGAATCTCTTTAAAATATTTAAAAACATATCGAAACGATTGTCGTAAGTAGCTCAGAATATATTTATTTTAAACTCACCCTTGCCCTTAAGATAGCCTTAAGACCTCACCCACATCCTCGTCTCATACCGGCGGTTTAAAGATGTCTCGTGAAAAGCTCTAAAAAAACTGTATGAACGAATTTTTATTGCAAAAGAAAAAAGTCTTGCAAATATTTCTATTAGGATAAATACCATGGAACAGCGCATTGTCATGTAGCCTGTTCGTTTTTGGTATAGGAGACACCATCAGAACAAGTCAATAGGGATCTGTTGTGACAGCTTTTGTAGAGCTTTGTACGGCGCACTTTTTACAAATAATTACGATTATATGATTTATTTATAGTGTGATATTTTCAAAATACCAACTGTTACTATCTCTATGCCTCATCCGGTATAATGCATATAAGGCTGTCATATTAATGCGACAGAAAAGCAGATGGTAAAGTTTATCTGAATCATAATTATAACTCAAGAAAGAACTTCAATGTGTAAATAATGAAAAAAAAGCAAAAAGTAAAAATAAATTCTATGAGCATGATATCGATGTGGACAAAAGTTACCGGTAGTGTCCTTGATGAAAAAACGGATTGAGTCATTCGAGCGCTGTTCTAGTACCCTGATAATAAAAGATGCGTCAAATCAGAGATGCTAAGTCTGGACTACCTATGTATATGGCTCTTATATTGAGACTTATCTCATAGATACACATCTCATACCTGAAACTAGTCTGCGGACATCAGTCGATTTCAAAGTTCTTCGACAACTACCAAATTAATTAATATGGGTATGGGTGTAAGTATGGGGTGTGGATGTTGATTAAGTGAGTATGAAGATCACCGTCTACACCTACTTCCGCATTTCACTCTCACCCACACTCTATTGAATCTCAGTTTGTCAAGTTTCCATCTACAATGAGTTTTTAAAAATGACTTCTAGAAATAATTGTACTTTTACTTTTAAATCTTTCACAACTAAAAAGATTCTCCATCACTGTGACTATTAGACATCGGCGTGACCAATATGTTTTGGTCACGGTCACGGTAGTCATGACAGTCTCTACTGAAACGGCTATTTTCCTTTTCTCAAAATAGAATACCCTTCTCTCCCCAATATGAGGCCCCCATATTAGAAGACTCCCTTGAAGAAAATATGTGCGAGACTTTATATAAGACCTCATTCAATTAATTAATTTTTCGAAAAATGAAAACTTCAATTACTATATAGATTTATACCATAATATGCGTAGTTTTCAGAATTTTGTGCTGAAAACCTTAAGTGAGTGTTTTCAACATTTTATCTAGGCTTTTAAAATCCTAAAAATTCCTTCTCAAAGCTCCAAAATCGCTTTGGCTTTCTGAACAACTTTTTTAGTTAAAAACTGTAAAAATAAAAGAGATACACTAGAAGACTACCTGGAAAACTTTTGCGGTTGGACACAATAGAAAACCTTGGATCTTTCTGTGCGGAGAGACAAGAGGTAGTATAACAGATAAACGAACAAGATTATGTATGAAAAAAAATTGATCAATTTATGTTTTTGAGAAAAAGTCTTAAAGTTCTTGAAATATTTTTGTCGAAAGCGTGGATGGGAATGAGCGAAATCAGAACAAATGGAGAAATGCATAGATGGAACCGGTCAGTATATCGGTTTTACTGGTCTACTGGCAAAAGCCGGCCCGACCGATAATAAACAGAATGCTGATGGTACGTCAGATTATCAGAGAAAATCTGACCTATCGACAAAATATCGATCTACAGAAAACAGGCTGAGGTTTAAAATGAAACCTTGTTTCATTGTGAACTCTCTTTTAGGCTACCTTTGTACCTTCACGCATACTGGTATAACATTTCACCGTTGATAACAATAGTCTCATTGAGGAGCATTCTAGAAACTGTATGTTAAATCAATTTCTGTGTGATCAGTAGGATTAGCGTTAGTGCAAGTTGTTTTTTTATATGAATACCATCAGAGAGCAGGAAAGGGGAAAATATAGACCGGTATAAGTTGGTTTCGACCGGTACCGGTTCCATCTCTGCCATCAAAGATTGAAACAAAGGTGTCACAAGATCCACAAAAAAATCAGCCGTCTCGATCTTGACAAACTTTTCGCTACAAAGGTAGTCGAATGAACATCTCTTTCTACTATTGCGAAATAGATTCCACAGATCACTTTCAACAGAAGATTCTCATTCTAATCAATATCCGAAAACGAGACGACAATCAGTTTGAAGCCTCATTGTTGCCTGACTGCTTTCAAAACAATAAATTGTGTTTGTGTCAGTCATTGACTATATTTCTCATCTTCCTCGGTTTCGTGTAGAGAGAGTAGAACTACGTAAAATACTTTGTTTTTCGAGGCGCTCTTATGGCCAGTCTGTAGACTGCAGTTATCAACAATAGATGTACACAAGAAGGAGCGACCGACCAGCTGTACCAGAGTCAGAATGCGGAAGAATAGCACATCGAATGAAAGTAACACTAATACCCACTGTGGATCGATTCATATGGCTTCATCGTTCTCTTCTGGTGTCTTCATCAGAGCACATGAATTGGTTTTTATTGTTGAACCTATCCTTCTCATACATTTGCCAGTCATACGAAGGAAGTATATTTCGGCTATAGATAGGTGAGAATTCATGCCTAGGTGTACATAATTGACTTCGATCAACATATTCACTTGATCATCCCATAAAAATGTCAGACTGCCATCTAACTGAGCCATAGGTAGAAAATAAAAAAGTTTCATTCAAATTTATATTGATTCTCCAGTGTACTATTCGCATTATGATTCTCACTGTTCACTCAAGCTCCATATACCGACCTCTCCAGGGAAAACAGAATTCGAACAATAGAAATTTCGACATCTGAATTTGAACAATGTTGTCGATTTTCCACAATTGTCGAAATTCTTTAGGAATTACGACAAGATCAATTTTTGCACGTTATCTTATTGTCTACATTCCATCAGAATTCAGACAATATGCAGAATAGTTAAAATTAGAAGAAATCAGTTGAATTACAACTCATAAAATACTAATTTCACGAATAACTGCTTTATGCCTATTCTCTTACACTGTTGCAGTCTTTTTTCTTCTCTTTTATACATCTTTAAGCCACCTTGCGTTATAGCCTACTTCGTCCGAATTCCTTTCACTATCTGTGATCGATGGTGTGATACATATCTTTTTCACTGTTTATTTCACAAAGATCATCATATATCTACTTCTATTCTCTCTCTTTTTTTTTTGGTCGAATTCCTACTAGTTTTTCATCGACTGTTTGATGGTGAATGTGTAAGTGTATAGGTGCAGGTGTGGCTGCGGCGGCAGCTAAGACTGTGGCTGTGGGATTGAATGTAGATCTTTTCTTCTATGACACTCACCGTCACACCGACATCCACACTCCACACCCATTCCGATTCCAGTATAGTGTGGTTACCATTTGAAGACGAGAATTTCATGTTTAATCATCCAAGCAATTATTCATTTGTTCTAGAAAATATCGATATTGGAAGTTACGCACTACATTTTTCAGTCGAGCGAAACTTTAATGTCATCTAGTTTCATTAAGTTAAGTAGGTTATGATTATTAGTTCTTCAACGTATTCTTCAATAAACAGAGAATCTAAGAAAGGATGCCCGAGGTGGTTGCAAGCAAAGTTAACTGGAAGAAAATTTTTCTTATATCAAAATTATTACAACTTGTCAAAAATGTTACTATTCAGAGAATTGTCTGTGTCGAACTAAGAGCTGGTTCAAAATAACAGGTTTTTACAGAAAAATATTTTACTATGTAGAAAAGAATTCATCTTATTATAGTTTGAAAGATAATACATTTTTAATCATTAAGTGTCTAGAGTTGAATAATGCTGAATGATAATATCTTTTGTGAAGTGAGAGTTTTTAATTAATTTACTGGCATATTAAATTCGCTGTTGACATATTGAAGTTTTGAGAAATCGAAAAGTTGGACGTTCTTCATATTTCTTTACACTAGAAAAATAAGGAAATACATGTAGATAGTTTGTCAATTTCATAAAATGTTTGTTGTTGATTTTTAAGAGCATCATCAAAGGAAACTCTTGTCTCGCGTTTACATGTTTGTGTAATTCATGGTTTTTTATTTAAATCTACTAAACAATACTATTGAACAATCACTATATTCTTCGACATCGTATGTACAGAAGTCAAATCACCGTAACGATATGATTAGATTTATCAAGAAATGTTTTGCTGAAATAAAATATACTTTTTGTATTGATTAAAAAATAAAGATGTTTTCTCTCTTACAGGACAACTTGTCAATTTAATTTATAAGCATCATATCAAACAAGCCTTAAGAAAGTCAATTACTTACAGACTTCAACGCAATGTATGTTTTCGATATTCTATCATAATATATTTATTCTTTAACTTGGAAAAAAAAGAACACTCATGTATGATTACATTAAAGTAAATATATAATCTCGAAATATTAATACAAAATACAAAGTTATCTCCATTTCGACAGGAAGTTTTGAATTGTTTAATATTTCTCAAAAAAGCCTTCAATCATTTGTCTAATTGACAGAATTTACAGTACATTTGACGATACGTTTTACACATAGATGATGATAATTATCAACAAACAAACTATCTTAGATGTCTTCAATAGATTGACATTTCAGAGCAATTTTTTGCGTCATCTATATAGATGGTGTCAGATTACATTTTAATTTTGTAAAATGATTCATTGGTTTTTGGACCAAATCCAAAATATATGATGAAATAGTTTATAAAAAAAATGAATGGATGAAAATTTTTTTTTCATATTTTACCTCTGATATCTCTATTCATTAGTTTATCTTAAGAACGAATCCTAATGCCATCTAGGACGTCACTTTGACAAGTTTCTTTTTATTCACCCAATATCTCTAGAAATTTGACACGAAGATATTTCGTTACATATAATGATTGGTAACAAAAATTTTATTTTATTATTATATAGAAATATTACTTGGAATATCGAATATAATATATCGTACAAATAGAATAAAACACAAAAATTCTATTAGAAAACCAAAAATAAAACCAAGTAAGTTTTTTATTTATTTTTATAATAAACATTATCCTATTATTATCTATAGTACAATTATTCTTCGAATGGCTGTTGTTATAGATGTTCCTAGTGAATCGCTCAATAGTGAAAATAAGACTAGTAAAAATTCACGAATAGCACAATTATCCATAAATAAGAAATCACATATCCGTGAGCATCCAATTATGAAAGAAGTGATTTTTTTCTTAATTTTTTTTATTTCTATAATTTGTAAAATTATTTTTTTTCAGTTTGTTACAAGTGGTTTAAGTGTTTCTGTAGCAAATGTTGTTACATTACCGAGTAAGATAATTTTTTTTTTCTATTATACAAATTTATTATCATTTATCATCGTACAGTTGATGTATTAAAAGTACGTCTTCAATTAGCTAATGCAGCCATGACAACATCAAAATCATCTATGAAAGCAGGTCTTATAGAAACAACAAGATTAATTTATCGTAAAGAGGGTATTCGTGCATTTTATTCGGGTCTTATGCCAGCCATTGTTCGTGGACTTTTTTATGGTGGTGTACGACTTGGTATATTGATATAATTTATAGAAAAAAAAGAAAGGAAATGCTTCATAAAAATTTTACTTTATTTTTTTCTTGTTTAAGGTGCTTATGGTCCAATAAAAAATATGTTAAAACATCTTGTTACAGATGATAAACAAGCATCTATAAAATTTCTTCGTGATATATCCGCTGCTTGTTTATCAGGTTCAACAGCTGCTATTGTATCGAATCCAGTTGATTTATGTAAAACAAAATTACAAACAAAAAATTCCAAATATACATCATCTTTTCATGTAATTAGAGATGTTATTCAACAATATGGAATTAAAGGTTTATGGGTTGGAACTGTACCAGCAGCATTTCGAACAGGTAAAATAAATAGCTTTTGTTTGTTTTTTTTACAAATGTTAAATATTCAAATATTCTTATTCTAGCTGCTTTAACAGCTACACAATGTGTAACTTATGATCATGCTAAACGTTTTTGGATACAAATAACAGGTTGGGGTGAAGGTATTAAATTACATTTAGGTGCTTCATTGATAACTGGGTTAGTTAATAATGAGATGTCTTTTTATTAATAATGATACATATCATTGAAATAATAGACTTATTACAACAACAGTTACAGCACCACTTGATACAATTAAGACAAATATGTATGCAGCTGGTAGTTATGGTGTTACTGAACTTACGAATAAAATTGTTAATAAAGAAGGTTTTCGAGGATTATTACGTGGTTGGACAGCAGCATATGTACGTCTTGGTAAGTCATAAAAAGAAAAGAAAAGAAAATATAAAATGATTTATAATTTGATTATTTATTCCTACTACAACTATAAAACATAGAATCAATTTGTTTTTTATTGATCAGATATTAAGTTTTCAATGACATTTATATTTTTCTTTGATCAACACATTTGAAAAATCATATACATCAATAAAATTTTTTAAAAAATGGGCTATTCATAATCTATTAAATAGTTTGTGTAGGAGATAAGCTACACATTTGGGTTTTTCCATAGATAGATGCATAAAATAGTAAACATGAAAAAAACAAAAACTACATTGACGTCAAGGCCATAGATGCAAAAAAATATTGTGTCCTATTTGACTTTTTATGGTTATAATATGTGAAACTATTCTAGTATTTTGCTTTCAATATATCGTTAGTTTTCAATTTGAAAACACTATATTTATTTATTCTTAGGACCTCAAACAGTCGTCATATTTCTTGTCATGGAAAGATTACGTCAATTCTCTGGTCTGTCTGCACTATAATAATACGATCAGGTTTTAATTTTTCTAATCTGTTTGTTTTTATCTGTCAGCTATATTTTCCTGCTTTTTTTTGTTTTTGTTACAAACCTATTATTGTAATGCATATGCCTGATGAATGTAGAGAACAAATATTTTCTCTTTATTATTATTTATAATAGATGTAGTCATGTATTCGAAATAGTATATTATTTTACTAAATATACATGAAATACATGCCAGATAAAAATATCTTTTTAAGATGTTTTTCTCTTCATGATGAATATTAACAATATTTTTCTATAAACCTATTACCTATTTGAAAAAAAGAAAAATCGTAGCTATTTATTTGAATAACTTCTAATAGAAACAACTGAGTGAGTTGCGGTTTTCACTATAAAAAAGGAGAACACTCAGGTGCATCAGCATGTCCTGAAATTTAATTGGCCAACACAGGACCAATCATATTCATTCTTGGTGAACATTGTAAAAATGAAGTTATGATTCCATTTTGATAAGATCTTGATTGTTAATGTGATCAGTAGATAAGAGACATTGCTCTTTTGTGATCTACACAAAGCTGACATTGTTAGCTTATTTCGTTCAAGACTTACAAAGGTTTTCCTTAGATCCCGATTTCAGCCAATTGATCTGAAGTCATCTGAAAGTGTCCAGATCCAGACAGTAATAATTCATCATACTAAGTCGAATGGCGATATTTGTGATATGTATACTTGTTATGCTACATAGTGACAGATTATGAAACTTTGGAAAAACTGAAATAATAGTGCTAGCTCATCTCGAATTCAAAAACAATGTCACCATTCGACTTAGCATGATGAATTACTCTTGTCTAGATGCTTTTCCAGCTAATTCCAGATCAATTGATCAAAATCAGAAGTCTCCAGAAAACCGTGACAACTTTTGAACAGAACAGGTTAGTAATGTCAGCTTTACAAAGATTGTAAGAGAACAATGTCTCGTACTAACTGATCATATAACTAATCAACATCAACTGCATAATAGGTCCAGAATATCGTTTTAAAAATGTCTCTCAAGAGTTAATTTGATTGATACTTTGTTGACCAATCAAATTTCAGCACGTGTGTACACACCTGAATCTTAACTTTGCAACGGTGACAATTACACACTCTCTCTCGCTTGTTCCTATCAAAAGTTATTGAAGAAGTACAGAAGGCTCTTCTTTTTTGAAATGGATATAAATTAATCATGGATGTTATCTATTAAATGTAAAAGACGGGAGAAATAAAATGAAGTAATCTTAACACAACCGGTATTGTAAAAGTTTTTAGCGATTAACAAATTTTATATCTCAAGAGTAGTATTCTCTTTAACACTAAAATAATGTCCGGATTGTCAATTTTTCTTATATCTTATTGAGAAGAAAAAGAGTAACTTAAACGTACTTTTCTTCATAGATATCTTTTTTTCGGAAATTTTGTTAGGACAAAATTATGAAACTTGGTGTAACACAAAGATCTCATAGTCTCAATTATTGACTTAGTTTCGAGCAAATACAATCTATCTAACAAATAGAGAATGACTTTCGTATATCATTCTGTTCGAATACAGTTGAGTTTGAGAACTTTTGCGATATACGTTAAAAAAGTATATATGAATAAATTAAATGGATAAGTAGAAAGTCTTGTTTTTTTTATTGTATTTTAATATTGGAGTATTTGTTTTACTAGAAAGCTATTGGTATTTTCTATTAAAAAATGCATGAATTGATTGATTTTTGTTTGTAATATTATATTGACATTAGATTTAATTATTTTAAAATGTTTTATTTTCTTATTCTAGATAGATTATTTATTTTCTTTTATTTAAGCTTTTACATGCACTTAGCCAAATTTATTTTCATCTATTTTTTAATTTGTCTATCGGATTTATCAGCTAAAACTAATGATTTTAATCCATATGAAGTTCTTGGTTTAACTCGCACAGCATCAGATAAAGAAATTCGTCAAGCATATAAAAAATTAGCAAGATATTGGCATCCTGATAAAAATTCAGAACCCAATGCACATGAACAATTCACAAAAATCAATGCAGCTTATGAAGTAAAATATTTTTAAAAAAAAAGTATGAATAAATGAATAAATTCTCTTTTAGATTCTATCGGATTCAATAAAACGACAAAACTATGATGATTATGGTACAACATCTCAAGATAATCATCGTGGTTTTAATACAAATCATTTTCGTGATCCATATGATATATTTCGAGCACATTTTGGTAGTGATTTTAATTTTTTTCATGAATCACCATCTGGTGCAAAAAAAATTATTCATTCACGGTAAATTTATTATGTTTTTTTTTCTTTCAATAGAACACTAAAATCATATCTAAATGTTATTTTTAGTGAATTTCTTCATAATATTTTACCAAATAGTGATAAAAAACCATATGTTCTTTTTGGTAGTACAAATTTTTGTTTACATTGTCGTGAACCATTAATAATATTTCGTTCATTGGAAAAACAATTTAATGATGTTGGCATTGGTACAGCAGAATTCAATACAAATGATCAACGTTTAAGTAATGAATTAGGTATATTAAATGCTCCATCATTATGTGTTATTAGTCAACGTCGTGTTTATCATTTTAATGATCATGGAAAATCTAATCAATATACAGAAACAAATATTAAAGAATTTGTTCGAAAATCAATACCTATTCAACGATATATAAAAACAGTAAGAGAAATAGAGTTTTTCTTTGAAAAGCTCTCAATTCCTCAATAATCGATCTTATGTCACATGCATTCATATTGCATGAAATTTTCAGAACATGTAGGGATGTACTGAAGTGATCATGGTAAAATTTTCTAATCTATACCATGACATTTTCGAGAGATAATCAACAAACAAGGGTCAAAAATACCTCATTTGACGATAGAGATATGCAGTTTTAATAATAATACTAACACACTGACTACGCTGGATCGATGTTTACTGAAGCATTGACATACTCATATAGTATGAATATTTCAGGTAAGTCAGTGAATGTCAATGTGAGCTTTTTCGATGAACAATTTACTGAATCTGTACATCCCTGTTTGGCAATGTGAAATTCTGTCGGAGTCTTCATTCTATATACTAAATTTCTTATTGTTTGAAACAGTATGTCAGGATGTAAGATATGACAGATACCTTTTCTTTTTGCGAGAATCAAAAATAAGTAAACAGGAAGAACGAAAAAGAGTCTTTGAAAACGATTTTATTTTTAGAAAAATTGTGAAGTTCATAATTTCGATAATTTTGATGAAAATTGACTTTTCTGAAGGGAGAACGATCTTAAATTAAAATAATTTTTTTTTTTACTTAAGGTACGAACTTCTAATGATCTATTATCGCTCATATCATCATATAATGAAACAAATCGAGTTCATGCAATATTAATAACTAAACAAAAAACACCAACACTTAAATTTGTTATACCTTGTTTACAACATTTAACACGTATACAATGTGCTGTATTAAATTCATGTAAGTGAAAAGAATGAAAATATAAGAATGTTAAATTTATTAAATATTTTCTATGAATAGCTATGACAATGACTAGTGAAATACCATCATTTCTTAAACAAGTTTCAACTATAACTGATACAGTTTTATTATTTAAAGAAGATAAAAATCCAATAGCTGTCCTTAAAGATGTAAGTCATTGATATTAAATTTATGTTTTGATAGTAGGTTTTTTTTTGTTTAGAATGATTTAACTTTTGTTAATATTCAAAAATTATTCGAATCAAATCAACTTTTACATTTACCGACAATTACAAGTTCGAATGTATTTAATTTAGTTTGTCAAACAAATTCTGCTAAGTATGTTATAGATTTTTTTTTGTATAATTAAAGTTTTTCTTATAAGTCAAAAACTTGAAAAGAGTATAATTCTAGCCGAATTTAACCAATTGAACTAATTCGTTTTTTTTTACTGTTTGAAGAAAAACATTATCGAAATATATCATCTTTTTTCCTTATTGAAATAACTTCAGAGAATAGTTTAGGACTTTCATCAAAAGTATAATTAAAATGATGTTTTTTGAAAATTATTAATTATTTTGTTTGATGTTTTTCTTCGTTTCTTTTTTTTTTTGTATTATTTTAATCCGATTAGTTTCTTTTAAAAACGTCGATAGACATTACTTTAGACTATTTGACATTTGGCACTAATATTTTGTTAGAGATTAGACTTAATGTCTAAGCTTGTATTTTCATGATCAAAGCAATAGTTTATTCTATCAAATCTGAACAAAAAAAAATGAATTAACAATTGAAGCTTAAAAACTAGATTTCGAAAACTAGTTCATTTTTTAATACTGTGGTAATGATACACATTTGAGAAAAAGTAGTAGGATCTTTTCTTTTAAAAATGATTAAAAAATATGGGGCATAAATGTCAAAAAAACAACACTAAGTTTCGTGAAAAATTATCGAACTCGATAAGATTTTGGAATGACATGGACTCTTATAGAATTCTGAAGAACTTTAGAATCTCATAAAATTTGACTTCTGATGTTCTGTAACATTGAAGTTTTAGTATTAGCCGCAGGTTCATCGAACAACAATGGTTCTGGAATTCTGCTTAGCTTCATATCGTTCTACACGATTTCAGGTGTAGAGATTCCATTGATTTTCAAATACTTCCAAAGTCAAATTGTCTTGTTTTTTCCTTGATATACATGTATAATGATATCACACAATGATGCTATGTGATAATAGCAAATCAAGAGAAAGAAAGAATACTGTTACACCCTAATTAAGATAGATGATCGCTAATAAGTATCAATTCATAAGATTTTTGGATTGTAGTAATAATTCGATATATCAAAAAAAAAGAAGTTTTTCTATATATTTAGCTTATTATTACAATTGATCACTATAGATATTCGCTTAGAGATTTTCAGTTATCAATGTTTTATCAATCTATTAACAAATTGCTATTAAAACTTTAAAACGTTTACTGAATTTATCATATTTCGATAATCTATGGCATATATTTGATATAAATTTCAAGAGAGCTATTACCTAGGAAAACAAAAACTCTTTATTCAATTCATTACATATTAATATGAATAATAAGATTTATTATAAGTCTGTAAAAAAAAACAAGTAAGCTGAAGAATTTATTATGAATGTCTGCACATTATAACTCGTAAGATTAAAAAAAGGCAAACTGAAATACAAGTAAGCATATCTCCAGAGAAAAAACACATTTCGACAAGAGAAGTCTTTATATAGCAGTAAAACAATATTAAAATATAAAAAATAGGAATGTCTATAAACACATGTAGACGTATGATGCATTAGATTCTTAGAAAAAAAAAGATAATCGTATTTTCTTAAGTATTTGTTGTTTTTCTGACAAGATGATCCAAATTTTTCTATTTTCTTCAATAAAAACAAACTTTTTATCCTATTACGATTAATTTTACAAACTAATGAATATAATTTTGAAGGTCAGTATGATCTTCGCCAAAAATTGACTATCTATATTTCGATGTTCGAAACTATTGACAATATTTCAAGTTGATACTGATAGTATATATATGTAATTAATATTCAGAAAAATTTTAAATTTTAATTAATTATAAATCTTTGTATATGATTTTATATTTTTGGGTAATTACAAATTGAAACATAATTGTTTTCTTTACAGACCCTGTTTTCTAATTATTGGTAATGCATTTCTTTTCGAACAATATCGATCATCTTTTTTATTTCTTGCTAAACAATTATTTGAACAATATGGCTCACGTATGGCATATCTTGATTCATCATCAACCAAACAAATAAGTTTTAGTCAAATATTTTCATCAATTTATCATCCTAATGATAAAAAATTAGTTGTAAGTTTATTATTAAATCGAGATAACAAAAAAAAAAAGGAAAACAACTTTTGTTTTCTTCATTAAAAGATTGTTGTTATTCGTCGATGGTTTGATGATTCAATTGAATTAGTTAATACCGAAGTAGAATTTGATGGAAATTCTTTAAATGAATTTAAACGTAATAATTTAAATATGGTTGCTGATATTGAAGCAAATTTAAAATTATATTTAACAATACGTTGGCAAAATGCCAAAAAATTTACATTACCAACTATATTTGATTTTGATGAAAGAAACGAAGTATAATTAAAGAAATCATTTTGTTTTGATTCTATTCTATTCTTGTTTTTTTTTTCAAAGAATATTTTTACAATAATTATTAATCAAATTCAAGATAAATGGAATTATTGGTTTGAAAGAAATCCAATTTTTCGATCTTTGTAAATATATTTAATTATAAAAAAATTATAATAAGATTTTTCTTTTGTATTATTTTATAGATCAGGATATGCTTTTACATATCAATTTTGCTTATTTTTTCTTTCAATTATTTTCTATTTATGGTATACAAAACAAGATTCTGATAGTAATTTAAATAATCATATAAAACAAACGAGAAGATCATATCCATCTTCCACAACAACAAATAAGAAATCAAATGAACTTTAGTAAATTTTATAAAAAAAACAAAAAAAAATGAAATAAATCCTAATGATGTTTATTTCTAGTCGAGAACCAAATAATACAATAAAATTACATGAATTCAATGAATCTTTTCTTCAATCTTATACAAATCCCAATGCATCAAATGTTATTATATTACTTCTTATTGCTAATACACCTGATGATTCGTGTATTGCACATTTTACTAGACAAATTAGTTCAATTAATGAGTATGTATTTGAACAAAAAAAAAAAAAAGTTTCGCATTAAACTAATTATTTTGATTGTATTCGAGACTATAGTAATTAAAACAATTCCGAAAAAACATTGTTAATTATCTAATTAGATTTTTCAGTTCTTTTTTTGTTCATTAAAAAGAAAATGGTTAGTAACACGCACAAATAAAAAAAAAGAATAAGCAGAAGAAACTTGTTCATTCATAAAACTCAAATTCTAATTAATTCTGATGTAAAAAATGACTACTAAACTCTTTTATCTCTTTTACTTCGGTTTCGTGCACATATCAATTTTCTTTCATATTCTATAAATAATCATGTCAAATGTATTCACTCAAATAATTAATCTATAAAAAAAAAATATAATTTTTCTTTTTTTCTAATTTTATAACAAAAAGAAAAAAATTCTATTTTTATCAAAAAAAATAGTGCATTAATAAGATGATCTTCAGAAAATAGTTTATTAATTTTATATAACAAGAAAAGAACAAAAGAAACAAAAAAATATTATTTTGACAATGCCTGAGTGTAATACTCTTATGATGAAATGAAAGCTTTCAAATAGAATCACTTATAAAATCAGTGAGAATACAAAGTGTTCTTTATATATATATATCGAGGTCAATGAATATATTTTATTAATCTAGAGAATATTCTTATGATGTATTTTTCTTTAGTTCTCGAATGATCTTTACTGTTCTTTATCGTAAATATTCACCACGATGGCTTAATGAGCTTTATGCAAATATAGAAGATGATCAAAATCGTCATTTAGTTCGATTTATTACATCAACTGTACTTGCTCTATATATACGACGAAAATTTTTTGTACCTTATGGACCATTATCAAATAAAAATGATAATGATGAAATATTAGATGAAAATGGTGCTTTCATTGGAATGGATAATTATCATGAACGTTCATCATCAATATCATCAATAGAATCTACAGCATCAACAACGGATTCATTATCATTTTCTGATTGGATTGATCTTCTATTTGATGGAAATATTAGAACACCTATTTCTATCACAGAATGGCCCATGTTATTTCGTTGAGAGTATTCTTGTTGTCTTTTTGTTTTGTATTCTAGTCATTGTTCTAATCGTTTTGTATTGTATAGAGTTACTATTTCTATTGCTGCTTATCTGTCATGCTATGTTCCATCAATTAGGATCTCGGTATGTGTATGTGTTGTATGTTATGTCTCATTTTCTGTCTGGTGAAAAGTGATAGTTCACAGCAGTAACATTCATCTTTAACCGATACATCTAATGAAATAATAAGCCAGTCTATGGTGCTGTTCGTAATCAATGACATTGCAAGTGTTCGGTTCTTCTGTGTTTTTTTTACTGGATTTTGTTTGTATTTTTCTTTTTCTTCATAATTATTCTATTGCAAACAACAGAAAAAAAAATGAGTGAATAAATGAATGCCCGATTGCATTTCAATTAGAGTGTGTGTGTGTGTGTGTGATGACAAGGGAGACAGATTCAATATCCTTTTCTTTTATTTTGGAATGTGTTGTCGTGCAGGTTTAATGAGAAAGAATATGAACACGCAGAGATGAGATGAATGAACAAAAGCAGAATACATATATACAAATAATAGTCTACTTTAACAGACCCCCTAGGTAGGTATTCAAGTGTATATGTGAGCACCTCATAATAATCATATACTGAAATGCAAAAGTAGAACGCGCATACAATGCCTATTGAATCAAAGCCAATTATCTCTCTCTTGCGTTGTCATTTTCTCTAAATATAAGAAATAGAAGTTGACATTCATCGATCTATTCTTTCCAGATTTTTGCTTTATTGACTGATCAGTACAAATTCTTTTTCTCTTTTTCATGCATTTCATCATTAGATTCTAATTTGAATAACTCAAGATGAGATTTATGTAAATGAAATCTTACTCTCTAAGTCAAAATTAATATATCAAATTGCTATATGCAAGTTAAAGTCTTTTCTACTCAAATCTCAATTGCACGATTAAGAAAAAAAATATATTGATAAGTAAAAGACGTTTTTTTTTTTCTTTTTCTTTTGTAACATATATTTTTGACAAAGAATGGTCTGTGGCTACTCGTACTCCTATTCTTTCTACGTAAAAAAAAAAAAAGATGCAAAAAGAAAAAAAAGAGATCTATTATTGCATAGCGAACGAAACATTTTCTTTTTCCTTTCTTTATTGATCTGCGTTTTTTTTTGCTTTCCTCTTTCTCAAACCGCCACACCGCTCAGCTGTTCTGTTTGTGCTCCCATGCACACAAGTAACATCGTCCTTTTCGTTGTCGTCTTCAGTTGCTTCTTATTTTTCATCCATCCATCCATCCATCCATCTACTACGCACTACCCTCAAACAAAAAATAAAAGCAAACGACAACGATCTCTTTGATACTGTCCCTTTTTTTTTCCTCAATAAAATAAATGAATGTACAACCATCAATAATAACAAACAATCAGACTATAATAACGAAGGTTAGTTATTATTCTATTACAAATATGAATATCAATCACTCATACAAAATCGATCTAGTCAAAGTCATTAATTATAGAAAAAGAAGAAAAAAAAAAGCTGACAGGCACCAGGTTGCTTTCTTCTCATTCCTATCGCTTATGTTCTTCCTCTTGATAGAAGAAGCATTATGTTCTATGAATGGTGCATCAGTTGTTTTGTCAACATTAGTAATAATGTTGCCGACATACATTCATACAAACAAAACGTTAGAACTCATTTGTAAAACGAAAAAAAAAATCGTGCTTGATTATACTGATTACACGATATCTATGTCCTTGATCATCATCAATATACATATATAAATGCTGAATAAGAATGATGACGATCACTTTACCATCATTATCAATAATAACAAGGAGTCATTGAAAATATTTAAATCACATACGTATATGAAAAAACAACAACAAGGTAGATATTTGCGTGTGTTTTCCTGAAAACGAGACTATCGACATTTGCATCATTTGACAAATTGATTAGAACATGCAAGTAACAGTTATCGATGAAGAAAAGGGCCTAGAATGTGCATGTATATATATATATGTATATATGCGCGTGAGACAGAAGGGAAAAAAAAACGACGACATTTCGAAAATCGACAATATATTATATATATATATATAAATATATGCGTAAGTTTGTTAGTTGTAAGTCAAAGGTGACATACTTGAGAGCAAAAAAAAAAAAGAAAAAAATCTCAAATAACGAGTGAGTGAAATAAATGAATGATGAAAATAATAATCAATAGATTGAACATGTCTGTTTGTCAATTGATCATTTTTTATTTTCTTTTCACTTTAATGTGTTCATGTTTCTCATCAGTCAATTCATTTATCCATTACCATCTGGCCGGAAACGATCATCTTTCTCTCTCGTTCTAACAAAAAAAAAAAATATGAGAGGAAACGACGTACATCCTATATAGCTTCAGGGAAGTATAAGAAGATTTTTTTATTTTTTCCTTTAATAATGACCATGACATTCGAATCTGATTGAGAATTCTTTCTCTTTTCCTCTTTCTATTAGTTAAATATCTTTTACAAAGAGGATTAGTCACATCCTTCTATGTATATTTATATATATATATATATCAAAAGCTTCGAATGATGTGCTTCACCTGCACATGTAAAAAATTATCATACAAATACAACAAAAAAAAATGAGAAGAAAGAATCTCTCATTTTCTCTTTTGCGTGCATGTGTGTGTTCACGCTCTTCTGTGAAATTGATATCGGGTCAGTGCAATGACGGCACACATACAGAACGTCAGCATGCACACATAGAAAAATCTGCTGCATCTTTTTTTTTTCTCTCGTTCTCTCTTTCTTCTCTCATTTCTTTTTTTCTCTTTGTGTCTTTCTTTCTCTCTCTCTCTCTCTACCACTATTGCCATTCACTCCTCCTCAACTACCACAGAAGTAACAACACAATTATTTCCTATAGAAATGTTTTTGTCTTAAAAAAAAAATGAACTTTTTCTTCTTCAGATGCATACACATCATCCGACAACACGAAGTTCAAGCACAACATTAAATGAGTTAATGAAAAAAACTCCATCACCTCGTCGTCAAACGACACGTTCAACGTCTAACATAAATAAAGATACTCTAACTTCTACAAATATTCAAGTTATTAAACCGGTTGCTGTACGTCCATCATCATCAGATTCAATACAAACTCCATATAATTTACGTTCACGTACTAAATTAAAAAATTGCAATATTGAAGATATACCATCATTTACAGAAAAACTTTCATTACATACACCACAACATAAACCGGTGCCACCATTAACTCGTGCTGCTGCCGCATCGGCCGGTGTTAAAATTGATTCATTTATACATGATGAATCAATAAAAACTAGTAATAATAATAATAATAATAATAATAATAATAACAATAATAATAATAAAATTTCAATAAATTCTCAACAATCAACACGTTCGAGTACAACTCGTAAACGTAAAGCAAGTGAAGATGATCATAGACCGTATTTAGATTTACTTAAAATGAAACAGGTAATTCCTTTTTTTTTTTGATTTTTACTCAAACTAATATGTGATTGATTTTATTCATTAAATCACACATTATTATTTGTTATCGCGTTTCTTTCAAGTGTTAATGTGAACTTGGTTCGTTTCTTTATGTATATATAAATATATATATATGCACCCATCATCAGTCCTTTTGTCAATAATAACACATACATCGTTTTATTTGACTTTTTTTCTATATGAGAAAGAATTTTGACAGCTCTTTTCAAAGTACGATAGTCGAGCATATTAGTCGTTCGTTTCTTCCTTTTTTTTTTTATTTATTTGATTCGAATAAGAATAATGATCAATTACATCATATGTATACGGACATTTCATGTCTTGAGATATGTAACGGATTCGAGTCATTTGTCATAGTTTGTTATTTCTCTCGTCTCGTTCTTTTTTAGACACAATCAACATACAGCTTTGATGGCAATTCACCAAAGAAGGTATGTTTGAAGAGTGTAGAGTAGTACGTTGCCATAATAAGTTAAGAGAAATGACCATCAAGAATAATAAAAAAAAAAAAAAAAAAATTGTTCGATCGATTGATCTCTATCGTCCCATTTCTTTCTTTTGTCGTCGTTGTCGTTGTCGATTCTTTCTTTTCCCTAAGCGAATAAAAAAGAAGCATAGAAATAAATTGAGTTGTATGTGTTTGTATGTGCGCTCTGTTGAGCAGCATACGAAATGAGATTGACAATCGCACCTGTTCACTTTTTTTTTCTTATAACATAAATAAGAAGAGAAAAAAATCGACTAAGATTTTTAATATTTGACTGATTGATTGAACAAGAATAAAGTGTTAGGTTTCTTTGTTCTCGGGTTTTTTTTATATTTACTTAATTAGAATGCTATATATATATATATGTATGTGTGCATCAACACATTGTTTGACCTGAAAACTGCTAATTTGCACGCTCGGTCAAATTCACTATAGAATCTATTAGAATAATGGAATACGACTACTGAATTGAGGCATCTTTGATTGTCTGTTGCACTCTCTTTTTATTTCCGTTCATTTTTCTTTTCTTTTTTTTTTCTATAGATGACAAGACGTGCCGATCAAGACTGTATTGGAGGCGATGATGAAGATAGCGGATGCGATTATGATTCTCCAGCTCATTCTCCGGTCGACTTCACGGATGTTCCTCCCGGTCATGTACTTCACTTTGAAGAGTCAAATATGTCCTATGATTCGGGTTTTAGTGCTGGATCTGGTGAAGCAAATAATCAACAAAGTTTATCTGAATATAGTCAATCATGTTCTTTATTAGGAATAAATAATAACAGTGGAATTTCTACGCGTAGTAGTACAATAAATTCTAACAAATATCCAGCAGCTATTGATCTTGATGTTAATGCTATTGAAGGAGATCTCGGTTTCTAGTTTTCGTGTGTTTTTTTTTTGTTTCCTTTTCTATATAATGAATACCAATTATAACATTGCAGTCGTGTGTGTATGTTTTTTTTTTGATGTTGTTATTATTGTTCACATTATGATCATCATATTGTGCGTGCCATCTTTACCATTTTTTTTTCTTCTTCTTTCTTGCTGTCAGATGTGTGTTGAGTATATACATGCTTGTCATTTCTTTCTTGTTTTTCCTCATCATTGCGCCATGGCGTATTCATATACTCACACTATTTGTACGGCTCTTTTTTTTCTCTTAAGCTCCTCGTCGTTTGTCGTCCCGTCAGTTTTCTTTTTTTTTTTGTGTCTCGTGGTGGTTCATTTTCTTCCTTTATTTCGCGTTAGACTATAATTTAAAACAAATATGATCTAAGTCCGGTTCAATCAGTGCTTTTTTCTCTTTTTTGTTTTTTTTTTTTAAAAAAAAAAAAGAAGACCAATTGCATTGTTTAACATATTATAATCATACTAATTTTGCCATTCCTTGAAGTATCTTCGATGTTTCTTTTTCTTCTTCTTCTTTTTTTCTTGTTTCTATCAACTTCTTAAAAGTAGTCACATACTTTGTATTCTTGATGGTTGCCATTTTTGTTCGGCTTTACAGGATTAGTTTATATATATATATATATGTATATGTACATATATATATATGCATAAAAGCTGTATTCATTTTCCTTTTGTTTTTTTTTTTCTGATGGATTACAAAGGATTTTTTTGTTCGTATATAATGCATAAAAAAACACTAGACGACGATTAAATGATAAAATATAAAATTAAAATTCTTCTATTTATATTTTGTAGGTCATTGTAGTATGTAAAAGATTTTAAATGTGCACTGAAAAAAAGAATATCTAGAACGAAATAAATCAAATTATGCTCTAATGATAATGAATAAGTCATATTTATAGTATTTACGGTTAATAGAATAGTATGAAAATATGATTAGTTTTTTCATTGAAGATAATTTTTATGTTCAAGTTGTGCGTTAAAAATAAAAATGTGTAGCAAATTATGGTTTTTTTTAGACTATATAAATATAAAATGAACTTTAGTTTGTTTTTTTTTTGTATAAAATATTAATAAGACACAGCGCTATTGAACATTTTATAAACATTCTTTTGATCTATCTATCTATCTATATATATATATTAACATAAAACAATGATTGTATATGATGATCTATGTTTATATGCCGGAAATCATGTATTCAAACAAAATGATATGTCTAGAATGTTGACGTGTTTGCAGCAGTTTAGCATGGCAAAGCGATTATCTCAAAAGAAAAATTCTCTAGTTTTTATACGTGCTTGATAGATCTGTTATTTCCCTAGTGTAATGATATCAAAAAATAAATATGCACTTCACATTCGATCACGTATTCCCAAGAAGAAACATATGTCATATTGAATTTTATTTTGATATGATCCTTGATGATTATTCTTATAGATCGATTAAAATTTTTATCATATCACAGTTTTTAATATCTAGTCTAATTACATAAATAGATAATAACAAAAACAAAATGCATTGGAAGGCTTTGTTTTCCTTCACAAATATCTCGAACGAGAAAAATTCAAGGATTGTGAACGTAAAGAAAAGATTGAAATAAAAGAAAAGAAAGAGTTTCAAAGAAATACGACAATAATGCACAACAAAAGTGTCTTTAATATTGTCGAAGTTTAAACTCTTTGATTATAGTCTGTAATAAAAATTGCACAATAATGCGTAACAGAATAATTGACCTAATTTATCATGAAATTTTTGTTGGAGAGGATATTGGAATTATCCTCACTAAAGTCGATGTAGGTGATGTTGTTGCTATATTAAAATTTGACATATATTGACGTGCATTTGATTCAGCACGAGCAATCAATTGTTGAATTTCGTCATTACGATCTCGATCTGTTCTAAAATATTTAAAAGAAAGTAAATATTGAAATTTCAAGTATAATAAAGTTTCTATTTAGAATTTCAAATTTTACATATATTCATTAGTTTTTTTCTTTAATCATATACGATACTTATGTTAAGTAAATGTTTTTTTTTTTAAGTATGTAAAATACGTATTATAAAATCTATAAATTTTGGTTATTTGATAAATTAATAGACTGCTAGATGATTTTATCGCTAGATATGTATTTCAATGCTTTTTTTATGAGAGGACGACTTCAACTAGGATTGTCGATACTTTTTAGAGGTGGAAGCAGCTAAAAAATTGGGGACAAAAGTCTAGAAGTGGAGACCTAATGAAGAGAGAAAAGAAGAACAAAGTCTACCATGACTTATACTTCCATTTCGTATGGTCTGTTCCAACTTTATTCACCTCTTTATGACATTGTTTGCTTCTCTGTATTTTACTTTCTTCCAGAGAAAAGCCAATGAGGATTCAAAACTTAGTTTCTGTTTTAAATTACTATGAAGATGTAAAACAAAAAGAAGATCTTTGTGAGATTAGTAAGATTCCTTTTTTTTTGGGTCCTTGCAGCCGATTTAAAACTGTTTTGTTGAATTTTCAACTCATTTTTGACTTGGTGATTGAAGAATGGAATTTCGATCTAAAATTTTGTCCTTCGATAGGTTTAATGACTCTTAGAGTATCTTGAGAGTTTTTACTGAAAAGAATGTTCGTTTGTTGAGATATGAAATTTTCAAAAAGAAAAATAGTCGCTTGCCATAGCTATGCTATCAAAATAGAGTTTATCTGAAACTTGCATATCTAGATGAAGGAATATTCTTGTCGGTTGAAATTTTCAAAATATTTTCAGGGTCATTAAAGTTATCTACGTACTAAATCTTAGGTCAAAATTTTATGATTCATTTTTTGGGTAAATATCTAAAAATGAGTTAAAAAATAAGTGAAATGACTATAAGTCGACTTCAAAGATCCATGAGGAGAAACCTTGCTAATCTTACCGAGATCTTCTTGTGAATTAAAACATGGAATACTAGTAGAGATGCTTCTCTCGTCAGAATATTGTAAGTGATACTGATTAGTTTAGCATTTTATAGATAATAAAATGTTATATGGATGAGAGAATTAGAATTGAATATGAATTATTTTTTGTATTTATTTTAAACTTGAAACTGGTTGAAATTTTTGACTAAACCAGAAAAAATAATCGGTTTATCTCACATAGCAATTAAACAACTAATTCTTGAAGTCTCTATTAGTAATAACTTCTATTTTAGTCTATTGAATTTAACATACGTTAATACTAAGAACAAAGAAAATATTCGTTGAAAACTTTTCATATAGTAACTCTCAACAACTAACTTTGTCTGAGGTTACAATAGCCAATTGAAATTCAAAATAAAGTAGAAAGTTCAATTTTTATACAAGACTTTCAATTTCTAGAATTTTTTTGAATGCTTAAATACTTTTTCTGTTGTATGAGACTAGACGTTAACATAAATATTACAGCAGCCTAGAAAAATTTTCTTCATTGTATGATGAAAAAGTATGAATTCAAAATTTTGAGTTAAGGTTTTTAATAAATAAATTTGATAGTGTAAGACTTGCACACTCATATTTCTAGATCGTTCACGTCATGAAAACCGATAAAAAACGAGCAAATCAGACTAGCGAAAAGTGTTTTAAAGATTAAAAACCAAACTGATGAAAATCAACCGGATTCAAAAAATTCAATCGATCGAATTAAAAGTCAAATGTGTTTTATATAAATTACCGTCGATCATCTTGTGATCTCTTTCGCATCTGACTCATGATATCTCGAAGATCAGCATTTTCTTCTTCGAGTATTTTTATTTGAACTTGTAATGATTCTTTCGAAGCTTTTTCAGAACTAAATCTTCGTTCAAATTCATTGATCTAATTAAGAAAAAAAAATATATACATATATATATAAATTAATAATTATACACAAAATGTTGATACTTTTGATCGTAATTCTTCAATACGATTTGATGAATCAACTATACCCGCATCAAGATTTATAACATCGGTTCTAAAAAGAAAAAATTTGATACATTAAAATGGTATAAAACAATTTTTTTATTTGTTGTACCGTCTAACAGTAATATTTTCGAGTATCTGACTACGTCGCATACGTTCTAATTCTTCTTCAAGAAGACGATTTCTAATAGAAATAAAAGAATTAAGAAAAGAAAAATAAGAACAATTATTTATTTAATTGATATAACAATATATACTTATCAACAAGTTCATTTAATCGTTTATATTCATTTGATATTCTATCTTCAACTGATTGTCGTTCAAAAATTATTTCTCGACTTTTATATTGTGCATCTTGAATAAGTTTGTCTTTTTCATAAATCATCTCTTTTTTATGTGTTAATTCATTTTTAAGTCGTTCAATTTCATTTTGTAATTGTTCTGTACGAATTTGTGCTTCACGTCTTTCACGATCTGTGTGTTCTCTAAATAAACAATTCAAATAACTCTATTTTTAATTCAAAGAATACTTTCATTTCATTTTATAATCTAATACGAACTCAAAATTATGTATAGTAATAAACTTCAATGAAATTTTTTTTTTCTCTTATTCAATAAGTCGATTTATTTTTATAAGATCATAGTTATTTTTGTAGATTTTGAATCATTTTTGTCACTAAATCAGATCACAGGATCATGAAATAAATCTTATGAAGACATTTAGATTTTGTTACTATTAATAAAATAAGTTTTCAATTATTGTAGCCATGAAATCATTATAATAATAGAAAAATTTATTGTCACCATCAGTTGATATATGTTTAAATTATCGAAAAAAGAAATTTCCAAAACTACGTAAAAAATCAATTCTCCTTCTGGCATGTATTGAGGTTATTTCTCGTATATATTTATATTATTTGGCTCTTAATATTTTTCATCATTTGCTGATAATGTTCTAGTAACATTTAATTTTTTGAAAATGTTTCTAATCTCTGTTAGAAGAGTAAATCTTCAGGAAATGATCTGAAAATTGTTTTCGTGTGCTCTCGTAATTTTCAAAATTACGTAAAATGTTCTTTATAGTATACGAGTAATTACTTAAGTTCGTTGAAAATTTACTTGAAACGTTTTGGTACATTTGAAAAATTTTTGTATACTTTGTAAGATTATTTTTTAATAATTCTCATAATATCTTTTTCTTTTTGAAAATCTGAACACTGTTAGTTTTCTATTTTACTATAAAAGTTCTTAAAATATCATTTATGATATATGTCAAACTTCAATACAAAAATAATAAAAACTGCACTTACAAACGTGATTTAATTGTATTCATTTTGTCTTTATATTTTGCTGTCACACTTGCAACATTTTGTGAAAGATATTCGGATTGTGCATTAATTTCCGACTAGAAAAAAAAGGGTATAAAATAAATAAATTCAATAAAGAAATAATAAAAAAAACAACACAAAATATTATAATAAAGAGATAATAAATAACTTTGCATTCAAGCGTGCTGAACATGCTCCGTTAGTGTGTATGTGGAAGTGTGCATTTATAATGAGAAAAAAAAATAAGCATTTGAAAAAAAAAATATAAAAGCCATGTGTGATTTGGTTTTTTGTCTTTGTAAGCACCAAAAAAGAAAACAACATATATCATTTGTTTTATTCTTTCGAATAGAATTATTAATAAAGCATTTGTTCTAGAGATAGAGTTAAAATTCTTTTCTTTTCTTTTTTCTTTTCTTTTCTGAAAAAATAAAATAACAAGTATCAATAATCGGTTTTATTTATTTATTTTTTTTGATAAGTTATATTTAAAAATCAGTGAAAATGAAAGTAAATAATGTGAATAATTAAATAATTAAACATATTTATATATATATATATATGTGTTCTTTTTTAATAGTAGTGGACCTGTGATGGGTGATAATAAGCACTAGATTGTGCTTGCGCATAGTTCGCCTAGAATAATATATACATATACACGTATAAAATGTGGACTAATTCAATCATGTGAAAACAATAAATATAGAAAATTAAATTTGAAAAACTAATTTTGATAAAATAAATGTGATTCTAGTGAATTTAGAAAAATAAAAACAACAAACAATACCAATTTCTTGCGTAGCTGAACTAGTCGAGTCATAGAATAATATGTTCGCGAAAGTAGTTTATTGAATGATAAGAAAAAAAAAATATGTCAATAGAAATTAAATACATACCTTTTCTTTTTCAAGTTGTTCACAACGACGTAATGTTTGTTCGAGTACAACTTGAACACGTTCAAGTTGAATTGTTGCAGCTGTAACACGTTCACATACATCTTCATATTTTATTTTAAGTGATATTAATTCATTTTCAAGTTGAGCAGAACGTTGACGTTCATGTTCTAATTCACTTGTATCATTTCCAATCAGACTTGAATCATACTAAAATTGAATTTTAATTAAAATAATATCAAATTTATTAAATTTTAAAAATCAATTTTATAAATACAAAAATTTATTATGCGAGACGAATGATTTTTTGAGAGAAATCATAACTAATGTCTATATATGTATATATATAGTGCTGGATAAAACTAGCGAACTTCAGCTTCCGTAATTGAAGTGATTTTATTATCTATTATTTTGAGTTGATATTTTTGGTATGCACAACCATCAGTGAATTCTGATTGCAGACATTATCTATAAATTTTGTGTTTAGTTCACCTTTCTTCAAGTTTCTGATGAGTAAATATCGAAAATCAGAATTCTTACTAGTCACAAGATTTTGTTACTTACTAACCCTTACTTCTTACAAGAACAGTCCTCTACTTGATAAATCATTGTTGAGTCGAGACTATATGCATTAGATAGATCCAAATGAGCTATGAATATTTTAAAAAGAGTTGATGTTCTGAGCTTATTGCCATGGATATACTGCACATTTACGATACTTCTTGGAAAAAAAAATTCAACTTGAAACTTTACATAGAGAGAGACTTTAATGAAAGTAGTCTATTATGAGCATTTCAGATCTTGCCAGTGTTTCTACTCTAACATACAACAATAATAATAGTGTATCTTTTACAAATCTAATATAAACCAGCAGATTTTGATGTTTTTGTTTCAGGATAGAGTCTAATCAAAAAATCTAAACTTTATATCAAGAAGTATTTAGAAAATCGAGTGTAAAAAACATGATTATTATCCAATCTTTAAATTCTGGCATCCTACATCAATACTTACCGAATCTCGTTCTAATAAAGATCGTTCATGTAATTGTTTTCTTGCACTATCTAATTCATATTTAAGGGTATTCGAATATTCAGCTAAATCACTATATTGTTCACGTAATGCTAAAAGTTCATTTTCAAGTCGAATAACATTTGACTAATAAAATGAAAAGAAACAAAAATTTATCTATGAAAATAAATTTATTTTTTTTTTACATCTGGATTTTGATATTGTCTTTCATGACTAAAATGAAAAAGAAAAAACATAACTAATTGATATATTTCAATTATTGTTTTTTGTTTTATATATACGTTGATGTTTGCATATCATCTGTAAATCCAACAGGTGCTTCTTTAATAGCTTCATCTAATCGTTCATCACATGTAGCAATATGTTGACGTAAAACATCACATCTTAATTTAAGACTTTCAATATTAAATTTAACAGTTTCATCAGAATTTTCAAACTAAGGAAGAAAAAAAAATCTTGAATTTTTAAAAATGAAATCATTAAATCTTTTACTCGTTGTTCAAGTTCAGTTAGTTTTTTTTCTGTTAATTCAAGTTCATGACGAACACGACTTATTTCACGTTCAAGTGAACGTTGTTCAATAACACTAAATAATTGTGTTGCATCAAGATTTGATGAACGTTGAGATTTATCCATCTACGTATCAAAAGAAACAAAAATTAATAAAAACAAACAAATCAGTAAAGACAATTTTGTTTTATTATTTTTTTTTCAAATGAGTTTCTGATTTTGCTCAAAAAGAGAACAATCGATTCTTATTCCGGATATGGTTCTTTGTTGAGCAATGTGCAAGAACAAAATAATATATGAATTCTATTTCTATACTTACTTCTCTAATTGAATTATGACTCTAGAATTTAATAATTTTTTATTTTCTTATCTATATTTTATTTTCTTCTCTTTTTAGAAAAAAAAATTGAATCTTACTAAATATTTTAATAGATCATTTTCTTCTTGTTGAGAAGCAAATTTTAATTGAAGTTCTTGTATTTTTATATCAGATTGTCGCATTTGTTGAATAGCTACTTGAATTATTGATGATGTTGCTGATCCAGTATGTTGATCTAATTTTTCATTAAGTAATGTAAATGTATATTCAAGTTTAGCACGAAGAGTTTCTAATTGACGTTGTAATTCAACATTTTGTTGCATAAATTTTTGTGTAGCAAGATCTTGATTTCCTAGAAATGATCAAAAGAAATTTTTTTTCCTATGAATTATCATTCAAATAGCTTTTATCATATATATACACAGATATGAGGTTATCCGAATAATAGAAATCAAGTTTTACATTTTTTATTTAGTTATTCACCTTCAATAAGGGGTAGTTCAGTAATTCTCACTCGTTTTATATAATTCATGTTTCTCTATTAATAAATATGTTATAAATTTTAACAATGTTAAAAATGAAACAATGAATCTGCATTACGAAACTAGTTTGTAACTAATAGTTTATGATTTAATGAATATAGAACATGTCGACTTAATATGATCGATTTTGTACACCATGTTTAACTTTAAAAGGGATGAATCGGACGTTACAATTACATAGCCAATTTTCTTTGACTGGAAACTACATTTTTAAAATGTATCGCGAGTAGCTTTCTCTTATTCTTGACCGTTTCTCGTTTTCGAAGATGATACAGATAATCAAACTGAAATTTTTACGATAAATAGAAAATTATAACTAAAGAGACATGTGTTCGAGAAAAAAAATTTCGAAGAGAATGTTTTCGATTTTTTTCTGTGAAACACTAGTTTGCGTAGGGTCGCATTTTGATACATTACGACTCCCTATCAAATTTTATTCGATTAGACTAAAAATATTTTTCAAGATATCTCTAACTATATCTCAGAGGTAATTTGAAGTCTTCCAAAAAAATCCGCACTTTTTTTAAAATGAGACAAATACGTAAAAGTTGCGTGTCACGATCAGGAGGATCTTGCCTTTCAGGATCCGGTAAATTTGAGTAGAAAAGTCACAAATGAAGTTGGTCGATTTGACTTTTGGAGAATATTTCTAAGTAGCAGTGGTAAAAATTTTAGCCCAATTCTACTGAAGTTCAATGGGGTTCATAAGCAACCAGAATGCGACAGCATGAAAAACCAGGATCTTTCAAAAAATATTGCAACAATCTAGTTCAAAGTATTTTCCTTGAATATGCCTCTCTTTATTTTTAGTTTGCTATCTGTGGTAAAAGTTTCAGCTAGATCGGTTGTACGACGTTCGAGAATCAAGAACGATCAAAAAAGACCAGCGTACTTTTAATATATTTACAAAGGTACATCACAGTCAAAGAAACTTGGTTACATAATTGCAACATAGAATTCTTCTCTTTTGAAAAATAGATATCGTGCATAAAATTCATCCGATCAAATTAATGTGTTCAATATTCAATTAACCATAAAATAATTACAAAATGGTTTCGTAGAGCAAACTCATTGTTTGCATCACACTTAAGTCAATATTTCATTATTAACATGTCAAATATAAAGGATTAATATACTTATATATAGTCTTAGGACAGAATAGATTTTTTCTAAAACTATATAGATTGATAGCGCGTGAGACAATGCAGATTTCGATCATAATGATTTGTAGTATTAATTTCGTATTTATATAACATAAAATCCTTCAAAAGTATGGAAATTCACCTATATAATATCAGCATCATATCTATTGTACCTGGTCTCACTCTGCATAAACGAATCAATGAACATGACTCACTCATATGTCACTTTTACAGTATGAAACATTACGTACTATCAGTTCTTATATTAAATTTTCAAAAGAAAAAATTACATTTAGCATAGTTATTACCAAAGAGTCCCAAAACTGACAGACTCTCTAAGACAAATTAGCTCATGAAAATTTGTTTTGTATCCAACAGAATAAAGAATAAATAGATAGAAATGTTCAGAATTTTATAGTCTATCTTTTTATTCTAATGACGACGAGAACTAAAAAAGTGGTAGATTTACGAGCTTATCCGACGGTATCTTTTGTCAAATATAAACTCAATTTTAAAAAAAAATATTTAATACCTGATGACTGTGTAAGATCACTAACACGATCTGTATATTCTGTTGGTGGTGGACAAGTTTGATCAATAATTTGAATTAATCGACTAATTTGTTCATTTTTTTCCATGACAAGTTTATCTAATTGTCTATGAAATTCATTTTCAAGAAAATGATTTTGATTTTCAAGCATTATTGCTTGTTCACGAAGATATTGAACATCACGATCACCATAATTAATCATTTCCCGTATATGCTAAAAATATCAATAACAGCAAAAAAAAACAAAGAAAACTTATAAGAAAAAATTTCATTGAAAAATATTTTATCAAACCTTCATTCCACCTAAAAAATCTTCATCATCTAAATTAAGATCTTGTAATAAATGTCTATACCGTTGTAAAATAGATATCATTGTTTGGCCTTTTAACCATAATTTCATAATTATTTCACGTTCTTGACCTTCATGTAAATGAAATTCACGTTCAATTGCATTCAATACATCTTGATAGGATAGAAGACCCTAAAGAAAAAGAAAAACATAACATCAAAAAGATTTCTTATTTTTTCAAATACAAAGACCTTGAAATAATATCGATTATTTAAGATTTATTTGTATAGAAAAAAAAAACAATAATTATTGATACTTGTTAATATGTATTTATTCTTACACTTATACGTCTTCAAGTTTTATCATTAATATGAGTAAAAAAGAAAAAAAAATTTAAAGTATGTCAAAGAAGAAAACAAAAAGAAAAAAGAGTTTGTTTTTTTTTTGCTTACACATACTTTTAAGCTGATCGACGATGGATAGATAACAACTTCATTTGTTTCAGATGAACGAGATGGTGTACAAGTTTTGGGAGGTGGAAGTGGAGATTGAACAAAAGGCATTGTTGATGTAGTTAGTGGAGGTAATAATGGTGTTGAAATTAAACTTGATGCACCTTTCCCATCACCTATTGATGTTTGAGATGATTGTGTATACGGTGAAATAAGTGGATTTTGTTGAATTAATCTATGCATAGTGGGTAATGCAATTTTAGTATTTTCAATAATAGTATTTATTTCATTATATTCTTCCTGAGTGGCCTATATAATGAAGAAAAATAAATAAATATTTATGATTTATCGATTTTTACTTGTTTAGAAGATGTAGTTGGTGATGAATGTTGAACTGAAATAGGATATATATATATATATATATTATCAAAAGAACAAGTACATGAAATAAAATATATTTTTTATCAATCAAATATTACCATCGGATGTTGTTCTCGTACGTTTTATAAATTTAATATCGTGATAATGTGATTGACTATCAATAATCGAACCCTGAAGTGAATCGAGACGAAATTATGTTGGTTAAGAACGCGAAAAGAAAAAAATCAACAGTGAAATGTAACTCAAACATGTACGCAAAATATGAAGATTGTATGAGTGTGCGGTATTTATGGCATTGACAGCCACAAACATCTCAATAAAATCAATTCAGTTTTTTTTTATCGTCATCTTATTTTATGAGAAAAGAGAAAAGAGACTTTTCGTATTAGCAAACCACAAAATAGACCAACTGAAATAAACCATAATACGGCACGAGAAATAATTTATGTTTGTAAGAAGAGACCCCACTTAAACAAAAGTAAAAGAGAAAGTAAAAGATAGAAACAACATACTTCAAATTCATTTTGTCTTCATTAAACGAGAAAGAAAAATAAGCAAAGTGAAACGAAAAGAAAAAAAAAAGACGAAAAAGAAGAAAAAAAAATGCGAAAGACGAAACAACTTAATTGATCGAAAACCTACGTACCTGTTGTGGATGATGATCCGTATTATCGTTTGAAAAAGTTCTTTGAGATGTCTTATGATCTTTTTTTTTCGTTTTTTTATGTCTATTGATACGTCGATGTGTTGATGCTAAAAATAGTCAAGACAAAAGCAAAATAAGTATATAATCATTAATGATGCATTTTCATCAGCTCTCTTTTTTTTTTTATTATTCATAGCAATAATTTTGTACGACTTTAGAATCAATGTTTCTAGGTTTTCTCTCACCAAAACATAAGATGTATGCATCATTAACTGTTATATATAAATATATATATAAGAACTGACTCGAACTTAAACGATTCCTTTTATATATGCATATAAGCGACCAATTTTAAAAATACATCAATATTACCATCGTTTTTCTTCATCTCTCACACCATCTTTCTCTCTCTCTTTCTCTTCGAGTGATATTGAGTCAAAGAAAAACGAAGTCAACAAGGTGCGTCGACGGTAACGAAAGGTATTATTTGTTCATCAAGATTCATTCTTTCAATCGTTATGCTGAGAGGAAAAAGAAGAAAAAAAAATCAGAAGTATATACACATCTACAGGATATAAAAAAAGTCAAGAATGAAGAAGATTATACAATTTAATGGTTACCCTTCGATACTGATACTATGGTTTTCTTTCTACTTTTCTTTTGAAATTTTTCAATCGCGCTTGACCTTTATATAATCAGATAACAAAGAAAATTGATGAACTATTACTTAAAATGAACAAAAATTAATACACTTGTGTAGATACTTATTAATAAAGGTCATTTAATATGTTAAACGAGAGTTGAAAGTTTAAGTGGTTTTTATTTCCTTGAGTGAATAAGTAAGATTTTAAGAAAGTTTGACAACGTATACATTTATGAACTTAACCAAGTTTTTTTTCTCTTTCTTAAATTGAACAATTAATGAACTGTTTAAAAGACTTTCTCTTTGGTTCACAATAGTGTTCTTTTTTTTTAAAAAAAAAGCAGTATAACATGTTATCTTTTTCCTCCACTCTCAAAGCATTTCGTTTGACAATGTCAAAATCGAATTGTTTGATGAATGATTTATAACAAGAACAATGAAAAATGTACTTATTTCAAGGAGAGACAAAAAAAAGTTCTTTGTAAAATATCTTCAAATATTCTTTCTGTTAAAATATGATTTTAAAAAGACTAACAATGGTTGGTTGAAAAGCTATGTTTAAAGAAATTGGTCATTATCTATTTAAAATTTATTAACAATTCATCATTTTTCGAACAGGATTTTGATGAAGAATTTGAAAATTTAAATTTATTATCACAATGAACATTCAAAAAAAAAAAAAAACTTCACTTTTCTTGATTTGTTTATTATTCTTGAAATACAAAAAAAAAAAGCTTTTGAATATTTTGTTCAAGAATTTTTCAAATCATCGTTTAAGTTTTGTTTGAAACTTAAAAGCAAAATGTAACTTGAAATTTTCTCAACGAACCTATCAATTCAACATGTGATTTAAGTACACCCATAAGAGCATCTAATTTAAAAACGATCAATAGACATTAAGTATAAGAACAAAATACAAACCATTGACTTCATGCAAGGCAGATGATGATGGATGTTTATCTAATGCTTCAATTATATCATCATTCTCGCTACTATCATCATCACCATCACCATCATCATCATCGTCCGATAAATGAGAATAAGCTGTTCTAGTCGGATTTTGATATTGTTGACGTTGTCTTTGAATAGGTGAAGGTGCTGAATCATCTTGACCAGTTACAGCTTTAGTAAAAACAGGTGTAGGTGATGAAGAAGATGCCATATTTAATTAAAAATATCGATCTAAAATCATAAATAGCATTAAATCTATTTTGTGAACATAGCTTCTCTATTACTAGACTAAGTATACATGCACTACATTTTTGACTATCTAATACATGCTAATGAAAACTACAGGTAAGTATTGTGTAATAGAAGATTAAAAGATTTATCATACAAGATTTACGATGTGTGATATTTATTTGTTTGTTTATTTATTTATTTTTTTCTTACATTATCATTGTTTTTTCATATGGCATAGTAATAGATGAAATTATTTTCTTTCTTCTTATCATGTATAATAGGATAAGATAAAGCAAACATTTTTCATACGTTGAAACCTTTAATTAAAAGAAAGACATTTAAACATGGTTACTATATATTTTGAAAATCAATATTGATCAGATTTTGATTCCTTTTTTTCTCGATTGATGGACATAGGATAAATAATATCTTGATTGTTTATATTAAATAGGAAACGATAGAATATTTTTCTTTTGTGTTTTATTAAATTATGTTTCACGTGAAATAAGGCTTCTAACAACTGATATGTGATACAGTGATTGATTTATTCAAATAAGCATGATTAAAAAGTTTCATTTTTTGATATGAAAGTGAACATTTTATAAAGGTTTCAGTAATGTATTCGTTTCAAAGCATATGATACCATACAAAAAAAATACAATATGTTCACATTTAACTGAAATTTCAAATTCTATTTTTAATTAATATATATGATATATTGTAATATTTTAATCATAATATATAATATTATGAAACTCATTTCAAAATTTGTCTAACTGGTCAATATTATAGAGCGTATAACTCCATTAGAAGCAATGTTCAAAATTTTTTCATGTGTAAAATATTGAAGTAAAGAGATAAGATTAGACAATATTCAAAAAGAGAAATTTCGATTATGTTGTTAGACTATGCGCTGGAATCAATTAAAAACTCTAAAATTGTTTTTCAGTTACTTTCCAATTTTTTATTAAAACAAACGATTCATTGAATTATTCTTCATTTGATTGTCTAAGACAGACATATTTCTATATTTTTACTGTGATAGTTTATTAGATACAACGACAAATGAGCTCTCAAAAATTAAGTCTGACATAAACAGGAGACTAAATAGTACAAAAAAAATAATTTTATTTGAATAAATTTCTTTTCAAACCAAAGAATGAATAGAGCTCTTGCGCGTTTGAAGTACAAATCTCTTCTTATCAAATAAAAAACTGAAAGTAGTTATTCCAATCAAGAAGTTCATATTTAACACGTTTCTTGGCTTTTATATGTAAGTATGAACACACGTCTTCTCTTGACTCGCACCCTGCTGAAGATTAGTATCGAGCTATTGAAGGTTCCTTATGTCATTTTCTAGATACAATAGTTTATCCATCTCTGATCAAAGTTCAACACGAGCAAATTCATTAATTTATGGATCTATCATAGATTTGGAAATCAATTTATATGCGAACTTGATAATGGCTGAATACTTACCAGCTTGACTTGTACAACTAAAGAAACGTGAACGTAGGAACAGTTGGATGAACAATTACCATAATTAGTGTTTTTGTTATTCATTTGATCACACGAGGTTTGTACTTCAAACAAGCAAGTGGTCTGCTCAGTGTTTTGATGTGAATGCTAATTTATTCAAATAAAATTATTCTCTTATATTGTGTAATCTTTGTTTATGTCTGGCTCAAGTGTTGAGAGCTCATAAGTTGCATTACCAGCTCATTGGTATAGGTCATAATCAATCAGATAACTTTAAAATATCAAATAGTGTTATGAAGTTTGAATTAGTGTTCGAGATAAATGCGACTGAAATTCGATTACAGACAGTCACAAATACTAAAATAGTCATATATCTTGTATCTATGTATTGATTGTATTTGGGTTTTCCACAACATAAATAATTTCATATTCTTAACTTATTGAAATAATTTATTCATTGTTCGGAATGAAAACAACTAGACATAAGTGTTTCAGGGGAAAATAGAATTTAGGAAAACTTAAAATTTTCCTAAATTCTAACTTTTTCTTGAGACACAAACATCACAAACTTTCAAAAAAACTGAAATAGTAATTAAAACTACCAAAAAACTTGATTATTCTCTACAATAAGGCAAGATATATGTGTGAATATATATAGAAGACGAATAATGATGATAAAGATGAGTTAATAGAAACAGAAATTCTGTTTATATCTTGTCTTTCGCAACATTAAGAATAAAATTTTTCAGTTTTTTAATAATTTAAGACAAAGGTTTATTCAAGTATGATAAATAACTTTGCAAGGTCTGTGCAAACTTTGAACTACATAAATGATTTCATTTCTTCATTCAATTAAAACCTAGCTTTGATTTTAGAATCTTTCTTTTAGTATTAACAATACAATTCACAGAGATGAATCAATGCTTTTTAGAAGTTTTTTTCTTTTATCTTTTTTTTTTTTTTTTTGAATTTTATATTAAAATATCATTATAAATTCTTACATTATTCAATAAATATCTTGTTATTGGAATCATTGGATTTATTCGCTTATTATTTCTTGCTTTGATTTATCACCCATAGCCAATAGATAAACATATCGTTGTTATCTGAAGTATTGTAGATAGTTTCATTTTTTTGATATTTGTCAATATGTGATAGCCAAATGTAATATCGTGAAGATTTTTTTTTTAAATGTTAACAGTGAAAACAATATGCAAAGCACACAATATTGAACAGTGAACACACATTCAAATGGTTAGAATAATAATAAGAAGATAAAAACACAACGAACAATATATGTTTGTTTTATTTCGCCCATTTTAAAACATACACAAAATACGAAAAACTACAGTGACAAATAAGAAATGTTATCCTATGAAACAGAAAACAAAACAAAAAAACGGAATAAAATTATATAAGTATTTTATTTTTTTCTTCTATGATGAATGATGACCATCGACAGTTGTTGTTCGTATATGACTATCATAAGGATTATTACGATAATCATTATAGATTTTCATTTGTCTATCGATCATTTGTTGACCACAATGTGATGCAATAATTTGCATTAATTCTGGACAATTTTGTTTTGTTGCAATATCAATAACACTTTCTTTTCTATCGTTCATCCATGTTACTTCACCTCCATTTCTTGAAAAGAAATATTTCATTTTGTTTTTTTAGATTTTCGTAAACAAGATAATACTTACTTTAGAAGAATTTTTAATGGTTCAATACCATCATATCCAAGAAAACAACATTCATGTAAAGCTGTATTACCTTTTCTGAAAAAAAAAACAAACAAACAAATATCACACAAAGATTTACTATGCGAAAAAGAAAAATCGTATTCGAGAAATTTAATAAAGTCTCACTAGGTGGTATTGAATGTAAGAAGAAAGTTTTTAATTACTATTCAATCAAACCTTGAATTTAATCATTGATTCTTTACAATGATATTCAATTTCTTAAGTCACATTAATCTGCAATTAATTGTAATCGATCTTATTATGAGAATAGTGTAGAAGTTCTGCACTAAATTTTATTGTCAATGTAGCATGACAATAACTCAACGTGGAGATTTAATAGTTTTTTTTTCTGTTAGTGAGAACAAAGTCTCTACTACCAAAATACTATGTAAACATGTTTTGAAATATCAAAATAACAGTTCCGGTAAATGATGGATGCAATCCTCTTTAGATCATTATTGACGTAAGAGCAAAACAATTGATATGCAGTACCGTATAGATAACTTTGGTGAATAATAGTATGATGGTTTGGATGTGTAAGCAAATATTTGAATGACTTTTTATATACAGTTGCTAAACGAGAAGAATTGATATTTTGACTTCTTCATGGTCTATGTTACAATTTTAATGTGATGTCAAAAGTAATGAATTTCTTGTTTGTTGAAAATCTCGATATTCTTCCTTTTGGTTTCCTATAGCATACCGAGAAAGTTCATTATATGCTGCTAGAATTAAAAAAAAACCTTCCATCTATTATGAAAGTTGGTCTTATTGTTTGTCTTTTCTAATGGTTTTTACTAGTGAAAAGTATTCACAACTAATAAGTCATTTCGAAAGAAAAGATTTTCTCTAACGATTTAAGTTAAGAAAACTTTAGGTGTCATGACCAATTAGAGTCTAGTCAGTCTTTTAGTAATGCACATTGTATAAAACAAGAGTTGTAGAGAAAAAAAGTCAAATTTTTTTAAAATAAAACTATTTCCTATAGAACTTGTGATTTTTATAACTCGAATATTTTGATTGCATTCGTTTGTTATTAACAATAAAATTTATTGAAATCTTATTACTTACGGTCCTCTTATATCTAATTTAGCTTTTCCATCTTTAACAAGTGTTTCTATACATTCATTATGACGATTACGTACAGCCAATTGAAGAGCAGTAAAACCTTCCTTATTACGTAAATTAGCATCAGCACCTTCCTTTAATAATTGTTTTACTTCTTGTAATATATCAATATGAATTGATGATCTTTTATTATCATCGCCAGTTTTTCTTTCTAATAATTTAAGTAAGGCACGATTGGGTTGCTAGAAATATCAATAAACAAGAAAAAAAGAAAGACATAATTCAAACGTACATGAAAACTATAATATTCAGTCTTACACTTTCATTACCAGCAGCACTAGCTGATTGTGGTCGTTTTCTAGCACGTTTTTTAGTTTTTTTTAATTGAGTTTTTTCTCTAGTATATTCATCTATATAATAATAATAATAATAATAATAATAATAAATAAAAAATTAGCATTATGAAATGTAAATGTATACCATCAGAATTAAATGTACTAGAAAATGTTGAACTTCGTTCACTATTCATTGCATATTGTCCATTGGTTTCATCAATATAAAAAGCAGATTGTGAAAGATTTTCTGGTTTACGAAATACAGCTTGAATTGTTACTTGATATTCATTTTCCTGTACTGTTGCATGAATCATTTTACTCATACGTGGTTCACCTATATAGATTTATTATAAAAACCAAACATAAGAATTTTATCTTTATTTCATATTAAATAACTAATAGACAAGTATGAACGAATTTTGTAGGCATAAAAATCGATCTCTTACACTAGAATTCTTTATATTCGGAATATCAGCAATGATCATATAAGGTACATAAAATTGATTTTACAGAATACTATTTTGATCTGTTTTGTATTTCAATTCAAATCTATCAAAGCCAAAATGCGAAACAGTTTCAATGGCTCACTATGGAACCTATCAGGTGTGAAATCTCTTTTCGACCGAGACGATATTTATTTGATGAGTATTAGAGAGCAATAGAAAAGTATAGAATGATTTGGTTTTCTGAACGTTCATAGTTAGTTAATCCTATTGAAGAAGCATACTTTGAATTTATTTTTTGAAAGAGAGAAAACATCTGATTTTCATTAACTGCTTCTGTCTCTAATCAGTTGTCTTTACTTTAGCACCATAGGTTGTATGATTATTTCTTTAAACAAAAGTCTACTGATCACCTTTTATGAAGTTATTTTGTAAACAACGAATAAATAATAGAACTTAACAACTCTTTAATTTTATAAATATACGTTATTTATTACCAATTAATGATCGAAAATCAGGTCGATTAACAGCATATGCTTTTAAATGTGCACATATATGATCCATTTGTTGTCTCCAATATCCTTTTCCAGGACTAACAGCTGTTAATATAGGTCTACGTTCTTTAAATTCTCTATCAGCTTGTAATTGTTTATTTTGTGCAATTAAAAGATCAATTTCTTTTGCACTTGGATAATAAATTCCATGTGTTTGTGTTGCAATTTCACTTTTTGTTATTAAATAAGGTTGACGATAATGACTAAATGTTGCATTAGCATTCAACCATGTTGTACCAGTTGCAGGACGTGTTAAAGTCTATTTAAAAGAAAAAAAATTCTTTTCTTTATCTAAAAACAAAAACAAAACTTCTTTTCTTTTTTAAAACTTACACCAGCAATCATTGATGATGCTGAAATATTTAAATCATTTCTAAGACGTGCATCAATAACACGTAATGGTGGTTCAATAATACAACCACATGCTAAACAAAATTTTGCATATGGATCATTTTCTGAACGACATTTTGTACATTGTATTGGTATAGAAGATTTTTCTGGTTGTGCACCACACCAATCACAATAACGTGCATCAGCATTATTTAAACGAAAACATTTTGAACATGTCATCATTGTACCTGTTGGTTTAGGTGCTAATGGTACTGAAACTGTTGCTTGAACTTGCTATAAAAAAACAAAAAAAAACTAAACAGTACGAAGAAAACAAAAAAGAAATTTACAGGTGATGTACTTGGCATTAATTTATTTTCACATATAATACATGTACGTAAATGTATTGGATTTGATGCTTTACATTGTGGACATAAAATTTTTGTCTTAGACAAAGAAAAACAAAATTTTTATTTTTTTTTTATTAAATGAATAAAACAAAAATGATTAAACCTGATTTTGAACATTAACGCGATGTTGATATTCAGGTGTAAGTGGTGTTTCACAAACAACACATATATCAGAATTAAATGGAACTGTTGATTTACAATTAGCACATGTACCAAGCTACAGATTAAGAAATATTAGATATATATTTGATTATATTTTGAATTTATTACCGAATGAGAATCTGATTGATTTAATCGAAGTTGAGTTTGCGTAAGACTTTGCCATGGAAGACCACATTCACTACAAAATCGTGCATTTAAATCACCTGTTCGTGGTGCAAAACAATGAGCACATCTGAATATCAAAAAAAAAAAAAAATTAAATGAAATTTGTTTGTTTGCAACTTTTACAAACCGTAGAAAATCGATTTGTTTTTGTAGACGACCTGCTTGTGCTTGAGGATCTGGATATGTATAACGAGGTGGTTTTTCTTGTACAAATACTTCATTTGTTGAACGATGCATTGATTCTAATTTAAAGATTTTAATTAGAAAAATTGAGAAGATTTTGGTGTTTTTTTTCGTATACCTGATAATTTTTGTTGCATTTGTTGATTTTCATCTTGAATTTTTTTTATTAATTCCTATTAATAAATGACTTTTTATGATTTTACGAAATATCCCGCCTTCCTTCAAAAATCGTTCTTAAATCAGTTATATTTAAATTGCATGAAATTGTTCAGGACATGTTAGGGTTGTGTAGTGAAGAGATTAGGGCAAAATAAAAAATAGTTCATTTGACAACCTGAAATTCTTTGTGAGTCTTCATTATATTTACTTAGCTTTTTTTCGTTTGAAAAAGCATGTTAAGGTACAGGACATGATAGACTTTTTTGTTTTTTTTAATTCTTATTTTTTTAAGAGGAGAAAAGTTCAATGGCTTCAGAAGATGGCGCTCTAATTATAAAAGCAATATTAACAAAGCTTAATTCGAAAAAGGAATTCGATCATGCTGTGCATCTTGATGTGTTCTTTCAGACAAAAGAACATTAAATATATAGAATGAAGGCCCACCGAGAGTTTCGAGATGCACAATGAAAAAAAACGTTAATAGAGAAAATAGTAAAAATGATCTGAAATTTTTTGAAATAAATGAAACGGCAAAGAAAAAATCATATCGTTTATGAAAGATTGAAACTCAGACAATCCTTCCATGCATTCATTTCAATTTTCATTTTTTTGATAAAAATTGACTTTTCAACGGGAGACGGACGTCTTAAATTTAATAGTTATGTGAATATTGTTAAATTTGAAAAATGATGTTTGTAAAACGAAATATGAGAGAATGGTTTTTATTTCAATTCTTTTGTTCGTAGATGAATGATTTCTTTTTTTTTTGTTTAGTTTTAATTAGTTTATTTTGATATGAAAAGTATTTTAACATAAATAGATTTAATAATATGTATAAAATTAATGTATTAAAACTCTTGTTTTAATAAATCAAATAAGTACATATTTTTGGACTTGTATATTTTCTTTAAATCAAATCTTTCATGAAATGTTCAAATGAAAACCATTGAAAATACATCTCTTTTATTTCATGTCTTTTTTTCTTTCTTTCTATTAATAGATTTGAATGGTATGAGTCCTACATTCTTTAAAAGAAGATAGAATATTCTATTAGCTGATGATCAAACGCTCGAGCAAACATATGTAACCTTCTAGTTACATCATCCATATATTTACAGATTGAACCTTTATGTAGATAATAACCTTTACAATTTTCTTTCTGTTCTTTATGCTTTCAGTATCACAACATCATACAATGATATCATTGTAAGTGTATAAATCAAGTGGAAAAGAATAAATTATAGATTTAATCGTTTATGACAATTCATAAGCTATCTTTACTCAAAATAGAAATTCGTATAATTGATTAAAATCCTAGAAAACTGTGATTAGTACAGAAGTTCTAATCGTAAAGAAGATCGAGTATACAATTCTATTGGATTTGTATTATGATAAAGAACCGCGTATGGATATTCATGAAACTATGCGAAAGATCTTGCAAGGCTTTGAATAATTTTACAAAAATACAGATACTTTATGAGGTTTATTGAAGCTTAATACAATTGCCTATTTTTTCTTTGACGTATATATCCGATTTCAAGTTTTTATAAGAAAGTAAATAATTTTCTTTTGTTATCTTTATAAAAACTCCTTAACGGCGAAGTGTTAAAAATCTGATTGAAAAAAAAAATTTTTCATTCTTCTAAATCGTTCAAGTTCATATTAACTTTCTAATCATTTATATATTATTATATATTACAAATTTTACATGATGAGATAATAATATTTACTTTGTTTTTTTCTTTTTATTACAATATATAATATATCTATCGTATTTGATAAAATGAATAAAAGAACTGATTGTTGACATTCTACAAGGGTCTATCATGCTTATAAACAGTTAAATACGTATTAAATTGATATCTCTTTGTTTTAAATAAAGCGAATTTTTTGCATGATAAAACAAAATGTCATTTACTAACTTACAAAAAAAAAATATTACCTTTCGTTCTTGTTGTAATTCATAAACAAATCTATTTTCATTTTCATCTGTTGGTGAATGATCTGATTCAACAACTTGTACATCAAATTTTTTTGTTACAACAACACTCTCACGAATACCATCTCTAAATAAATAAATAAACATTAAAACATAAAAATTATTTTATATGATTATGTTATTTACTTTGATACAGCTATTGCTTTAATTGTTACTTTTCCTGGTGTAGCAATATTTTTTGGAATATAAAATGCTTTTTTATATTGTATAGTTGAACGTCGTGTAGCTAAAGCAGTAAATGGATCTGGTTTTGAACCATCTAATGTATAATAAATATCAACATCTTTTGTTTCACTTGAAATTTCAATTAATGTATTTGTATCAATAGTAAATTTTTGTGTGTGTCCATATTGAACAGTACGTAATGGAATAATAGAGGGAGCTGATATTGAGCCAGCCGTCATTTTTGTTTTTTAGAAAAATGATTTTTTAGATTTGAAAAAGAATATTGAATGAAACCATTTCTAACGTTCATTTATTGATGGTTGCTAAGCAATGACAAACTTATATGAGATTGGTAGATTTATTTAACCAATCAATAGTATGATTATTTCGTAAGGTAATCAATCCTAATGCTAACTAAAAAAACTCAGAACATTTTCTTTTCTTAGTACATTTGCTAATCAGAATATTTATATTCTTTGAGATATATCATATCAATTTTAGCCTAGAGAATTTCGTTAATCTGTAGAAATACTATGAAAAATAATAAAATTGTTTTTCTTTTATAAATAAATTAGAAGTTATAGGAAAATTTTTGTTTTTGTCTTTTAGAATAATATAGATGAGCGATGATGCACTTTTCGACGTCTTTGAACAAGACGAACCCAGTGCTATTGTTGAAGTAACAGAAACTACATTAAGTATTCAACAGACAACTACAACAATCATGTAAGATAACAAAAAAAATTATTGAAATAGTTTGTCATTTAAAAAAAAATAATCTATTTCTCTATCAAAGTATAAAATATATAGTTTCTCTATAAATCATTGCTTTAGAAATTTTGAAAATCAAATTTTTCTAATTATAATATGTGAAAACTATGGACATTGTTTTGTTTTTTTGAGAAAGAGTTTTCACACCAACATTGAATGAAATTTATATAACTCTTGAAATTCTTAATGTTAAAATTATTTATTAAAATAATATATGCTGCAAGTTTACTTATTCTATTAGTGGAAAGCGTTGGGTTTATATATTTGAAAATTAGAATTTTCCATGCCGACTAGAAATTTTAACTTGAATATAACATTGTCAATTAATTGATTATCATAATTTTACAAAACAAAGAAAAATGAAAATGTTTTTCTTTTAATTAAGAAACTTTCTCTAAAAATATTTTATTTAAGAAATGACAATAACACAAATACAAATTCGAAAGATAAACGTATCTTAGAAGAAGATGATGATGATGATGATAATCAAACAGATTTTAATTCCAAACGTTCTCGAACTAATCAATCTATGGATACAGGAACTGGCAGGTAATTTAAAATCGAAAAAAAATAAAAACTTTTTCGATTAAATTCAATGTTAATTTTAATATAATTTTAGTTTTTTTGATAATGTTTCACGAATGAAACTTCATACAGTTGAAACAATTGAATCATGTTTACATGAAGTTTGTTTTTTATTTTGTTTATAATTTTCTATTTCAACATTTTTTTTTGTTTTATCAGGTTGTTCTACCACCAAATTTTGAATATGTTCCATTAAAACCTCTAGTTGGTCCACCAGCTAAAGAATATAAATTTAATCTTGATCCATTTCAACGTGAAGCTATATCATGTTTACAAAATAATCAATCTGTACTTGTTTCAGCTCATACATCAGCTGGTAAAACAGTTGTAGCTGAGTATGTATTAATATAGTTGTCTATCGTTTTTATTTTCGAGGAAGCTACCGTTATTGATTAATTGCATCAAGAAAAATTCATCGGTTTAACTCTTTCATTGAAAATAGCTATTGAAAGAAAACTACAAGTTTTCATAAAGTTTGATCAAAGATTTTCAAGGTTGAAGAAGCAGTTTCTCGAAAACGTTTTTTTTTGTTTTGATCAATTATCGTTTAACAGTTCGTCCTCTGACGAAAGACTTAAATCTACGAATTTTCTGTTTCATCATAGTGGCGTAATCAGGGGGTGACCACCAAAGCTTTGAGCCCCACCACAGACTTAGAGCTCGACCAGCTGAGCTCCTCCACCGTTAAAATCCTGGTTTCGTCACTATTACATCAGTAATTTCTCTTCTCTATTTTGAATTAATTAATTTTTGTTAAAATTAGATATGCTGTTGCAATGGCATTACGTGAGAAACAACGTGTTATATATACAACACCTATAAAAGCATTAAGTAATCAGAAATATCGTGAATTACATGAAGAATTTAAAGATGTTGGTCTTATGACTGGTGATGTTACAATTAATCCATCAGCATCATGTCTTATTATGACAACAGAAGTAAAGATTTAATTTTTTTTTCGAAAATCATAAAAACAAAGAAATTCTTGTTTTTTTTTTTTAAGATTCTTAGATCAATGCTTTATCGTGGTTCAGAAATAACTCGAGAAGTAGCTTGGGTTATTTTTGATGAAATTCATTATCTTCGTGATAAAGGTATAGAAAAATAAAGATAGAAAAAAAATTTATTGTATTTTTATTTTTTTTTGTTATTAAATTTTCAAGAACGAGGTGTTATATGGGAAGAAACAATTATTTTATTACCTGATAATGTTCATTATGTATTTTTGTCGGCAACTATTCCAAATGCAAAACAATTTGCAGAATGGATTTCATTTCTTCATAATCAAGTAAGAAAAATATTTCAATTTAATATGATTACTACAAAAAAGAAAATCAAAGTATTAGAAATGAAAAAAGAAAAAAATAACTTTAAAAATTAGTTTTAGAATTAAAGAAAACTATATAGAAATGTTAAATTTGTTTATGTTTTTTTTTAGCCTTGTCATGTTGTTTATACTGATGTTCGACCAGTTCCTCTACATCATTATATATATCCAGCTGGTGCCGATGGTCTTCATTTAGTTGTTGATGAAACAGTACTTTTATTTCAATTATTTTTATATCTTTAATTTTATATGTATTTTTGTCTTGTTAGGGAAAATTTCGTGAGGATAATTTTAGTGCAGCTATGGCAACATTACGTGATGTTGGTGATGCAGCAAAAGGTGATAAACGTGGACGACGAGGTGGTTTTAAAGGTAACAAATTCTTCTTTTTTTTTCAAGTAAATTTAATAAATATTTTTCTTTTTTTTTTGTTATATTTAGCTGAAACAAATGTTTTTAAAATTGTTAAAATGATAATGGAACGAAATTTAGCTCCAGTTATTGTTTTTAGTTTTAGTAAAAAAGATTGTGAATCTTATGCATGTGCTATAGCTAAACTTGATTTTAATTCTGGTTAGTTGAAAAAAAAAAACAAAGAAATTTATTTTTCATACTTGAAATTTTATTTTAAATAGATGATGAAAAACGACTTGTTGAAGAAGTTTTTACTAATGCAATTGATTTATTATCTGATGAAGATAAAAAATTACCACAAATAAATACTGTATTACCATTATTAAAAAAAGGTGTCGGAATACATCATTCAGGTTTATTACCAATAATTAAAGAAACAATTGAAATACTTTTTGGTGAAGGTCTTATTAAAGCATTATTTGCAACTGAAACATTTAGTATGGGTTTAAATATGCCAGCTCGTACAGTATTATTTACAGCTACAAGAAAATTTGATGGAAAAGAATTACGATGGGTAAAATAGAAGAAAACACATAAAAACTATTAATACAATTCCTATGAGATTAAAATATGTGATACAATGTAACTGTTGTACTTAATTATAGAGAGATTATTTTATTATTATATCTATTTTGGGAGATATTTCTTCATATCATTCGTTTACTTAATTCTTTGAAAATGCAATAGGGAATGTGTTCATTTATTAAAGAGAGATGTTATTGATATACGATCTTTGATTGTATATTAATAACATCTGTGGAAAGAAGGAAGATCCAAATTTCTATTCTTATATTTTAATATTTCTTTTGAATAGTGTTTCACTAAAGATGTTTTATAATAATATAGTAGGAAATAAAAGTCTTTGCGTCTGATTAATTCAATATAATGAATTCAAATTTTTTAGGAACTACAAATTTCAAAAACAAATCTTGATTTTTTGATAAAAAAACAGTGCAACATTTTTTAAGATTATAATGCTTAGAGAAAAAGAAAACAAACAGGCGCAGTACATAATAACTGTTTTTGTAACTAATTAGTGAGGTACATATACACAAGTTTTCAGACCTCTACCACATAAAAATGACTGATTGATTGAAAACGTTTTTTTTTTGTTTACAATTGTAAATTTTTATTTAATTAAGATAACGTCTGGTGAATATATTCAAATGAGTGGTCGAGCTGGTCGTCGTGGAAAAGATGATCGTGGTATTGTTGTTTTAATTATTGATGAAAGAATGAGTCCAACAACAGCAAAAGAAATTGTTAAAGTATGAAAAGAATTTTGATTTGTTTTTTATTTTTAATATTTGTTATCTTTAGGGAAAAGCTGATCCATTGAATAGTTCATTTAAATTAACATACAATATGGTATTAAATTTATTACGTGTTGAAGGTATAAATCCAGAATTTATGCTTGAAAGATCATTTTATCAATTTCAACATTATTCAACTATACCAGCACTTATTGATAGTAAGAATTTTAGTTTTGTCTGTTTTATTTTTTATTTTTTTGATTTCAAATGATTATATTTTTAGAGTTAAAAAATTGTGAACAACAATATGAATCAATTAAAATTGAAAATGAAGAAGAAGTTGCTCGTTATTATAAATTAAAAAAGAAACTTGAACTTGTACAAGAACAAATGTCAACTATGATAAATGAACCGAAATATTTATTACCATTTCTTCAACCAGGTCGACTTGTTACTGTAAGTTATTTAAAACCATACAATCAAATTTGATACTTTTAGTTTCCAAGAAAGTATATCAATCAAAATGATATCCAAAGTCACTTTTTTGATAATCATTAATTAAGTTAATTATAAGAAAAGTTCAAATGAGTAGAAAATATCATTAATCTAAGATTTAAATTGTTGATAGTTCAGAAATTATTACTCTTTGTACGTTATACTATTTGTAAGTCAATCAACAAAAAAAAAGATTTCTAAGCACAATTGTTCATGATCTTACGAGGAAACATTTCCAAGTGATTCGCTCTGTTTTGATTCATTCGTAAGTCATTCGATAGAGTAGATTGAAATAAGAAATAGCCTAAAAGGATTCATGCCCATGGCCTAGGAGTGAGGAATTATGGCCGTTTTACTGTGAGCCAGGCATTACGGACAAAACCAAAATGCAAAATTTCGAGCTGAGATTCTATATATAGATAGATTTAATAGTCATTATATTGTCCTGAAAGTTTCAACGAAAACGAACATGTCTTTTTCGAGTTATTCAACTTTTTAAAAAAAGCTGTTTACCATAGAAGGACACAATAATCCAGTTTAGTTGGAAATTGAATATCTCGAAAAAGACATGTTCGTTTTCGTTGAAACTTTCAGGACAATATAATGACTATTAAATCTATCTATATATAGAATTTCAGCTCGAAATTTTTCATTTTGGTTTTTTCCATAATGCCTAGCTCACAGTAAAAATTTCAGTAAAACGGCCATAACTCCTTACTACTAGGCCATGGGCACGAATCCTTTTAGGCTATTTCTTATTTCAATCTACTCTATCGAATGACTTACGAATGAATCAAAACAGAGCAAATCACTTGGAAATGTTTCCTCGTTAGAGGAGATTAATTAATAAACTTGTTATTAGACATTGTTTGTCTATGTTCACTAAGAAACGTCAATTGAAAAGCAAAGCAACACAATCTGAATTTAGTTGATGCTAACAAATAGTACAAAAGGTTTGCATTAATTTTGCTTTCAGTATAACATGAGAACAACATTCGTACTATTAAACTATGCAAAAGAATTTTTTTTTGTAAATGCTTACTTAAGGCTAAAAATTTTAAGACGATGTTCGATTGGAAAACTTCTTTGCATACTTTCAACAATTTAAAAGAAAACTTTTATCTACTAAGAAATTGTTCGGTTCAAAATCAAATTTTTTGTTTTTTTTTTGTAACTATCTTTGCTAGTCAAAGATGTGCACAACTAATCATAGACAAAATACATTTGTTAAAACAAAATATTAGGCATAACGAGAAAATTATGATTGAAAGTTGTAAAAGAAAAAAATCAAATTTTTAATAAAACAATATCCAATGAAATTAATGGTCTTATAACTCGAATATTTTGATATTACTAGAAATTAGATTGATAAAATTCAAACATCTCTTTAAAATTTTTCAACGAAATATTTTTACATAATTTGATAGTACTAACTAATAAGAAAATAATTGAGTCTTCACGACAAGTTGTTGTCACACTATACCAAAAAAAAAAAATTAATGAAGAGCTTGTGTACTATACATTATAATTATTCTGCTAGTCTGTGATTACGAGTTCATATAATTGTATAAGTCAAAGATCATAGTTAACGTTTCTAGATTGTACGTGCCTCCAGGATATGACGGCAAATTTTCTGTCGGAACAAATCATTTCCGATGATTTCTATGAAGAAATATTCTTTGTTAAAAATTTCCCGAAGACTTTCAGACTATTGCTTCCTATTCCGGTACAAATCGAGCGAACTATCTAATATAATTATATAAATAAATGAAAATCATAAGAACATATCATCATGTATTAGAAAATAAAATTGTTTTGTTTAGGTCAAATATGGTGATCTGAATTTTGATTGGTGTGTTGTACTTAATTTTCATAAAAAAGCCGGTGAAAAAGTATTTATATTTAATTTTTTTTCTATATCATATATGTATATATATACTGTTATTCTATTTAGCCAACTTATACAATCGATGTTTTAGCACATTTAACATCCGATAGTGTTGTACAAAAATCTACATCTGATTTACAACCATGTCCTCTATCAGAAAAAGGTGAAATGAAAGTAAGTTTCAATATTCTTGTTGTCTGTTTTTTTTTATTTATATTTTTTAATAAATAAAACTTTTGTTTCAACAAAAAAAAAAAAAGGCAATACCAATTCAACATACATTAATTCGTGATATAAGTGCAATACGTGTTTATTTACCAGATGATTTACGAACAAAAGACGCTCGTCAAAGTGTATTAAAATCAGTTCAAGAAATAAAACGACGTCATCCACTTGGTTTACCATTACTTGATCCAATTAAAGATATGGATATAAAATCAAATGAAATGTTATCATGTGTTAAACAATATTCAACATTACAAACACGAATTAATGAACATCCATTAACAAAAACAAATGAATTAAAATATCTTTATGAACAATATGAACGTAAAGCTAATCTTGAACGACAAGTTTTAGAAGCTAAAAATGATTTAAAAAAAGCACAATCATTATTACAAATTGGAGATTTAAAAAAATATAAACGTGTTTTACGTCGTTTAGGTTATTGTAATTCAACTGATATTATTGATTTAAAAGGTCGTGTTGCATGTGAAATTGATACGGGTGATGAACTTGTTACAACTGAACTTTTATTTAATGGAGTTTTTAATGATTTAACTGTTAGTCAAGCATGTGCTTTACTTAGTTGTTTTGTTTTTCAAGAAAAAGGAAATGAAATGCCAAAATTACCACAAGAATTATCCGGACCATTAAGACTTATGCAGGTAGACATAATATATATATATATAAAATATTTTTTAATATTATCATATCTATACTCAATTCTCTTATATCAATCTATTAAAAACGTTTTCCTTCTAATAGTTAAAGAAAGCTAATTAGTTCACATTAGTATCTTGCACGAATATGACTTTCCGTAATCGGATTTGAACTAGAGCTAATTGACATCTGGCAGATAGTTTTATAGTCATAGTATAATTTTTAAATTTTATTTTATATAAGAAAATATACTATTAAATTTCTTGCATAAACAATAACAAATAAAAGAGATTATCTAAAAATATTCATGACAAAGCAAGTAATTTAGGGTACATTTGATGTCTTTGCTTCTAAAAATTCAATCAATATCGTTTAGGAGAAAATTTCTTTAGCTGTCCCCTTACGATATTAATGATTTCTCATCTATAGATATTACATAGTGTTCTAATAGAAACTCTAAAGAAATTTGGATTCCTATTGATGTTTAACTAAATTATGGAACTTTTTTCTGGAGATTTCAAGTTTTCGAAAAACTCATCTTTTCGAATATTAATGTGAAAATTTATGCATACAGAGAACTCAAATAAACTAACTTCTATTAAAAGAAAACAATCAGAAGTTTTGAACAAAGCCTCTTCGAGATGTGCAGCTCACTACTAATGCATATTGTTTACACTATCTATTGAAAGTCTCACTTCACGAAGAAACTTTATTTAAAACTTCGGAATTTATTTTATGATAGCTAGTCTAGTTGAATTTTCTCTATACATAAATTTTTAGATCAAATTTCGAAAATATAAAGTTTCTGAAAATGTTAGATCTTCCGAAAAGAATTTAATAGCTTGGTTAAATCTCAATAAGAACTGAGTTTTTTATTACAGCATTACGTAGTGTCTACAGACAACAAAGTGTCTTGAGCAGCTGAAAAGATTCTTTCATAAGTATTCATTTGCTTGATGCTGAAAGGAAATACATTGTTAATGTAAAACATCATAATTGTGGATACATACATGAATGCTTTTGCAATCATGATAATACATGTGTTCATCTTTTTGATAATTCACTTTTTTCACTTCATCAATATTGATTTCCATTTCTGTCACATGTTTTCAAATACAATAAAATGCTCAAATTAGTTTTCACTCTTATGCTTTTATGTAAAAAACAGTTTCAAAAAAGTAAAAATATTTTGAAATCTTGAGATCTTATTAATTGTCGGTTTGTATCTGGACAGGATATCATATCTGAACTGATTCGGACCTATGATTTAGACCAAATATCAAACCGAATTGCACAATACTAATTTTAATAGAGACCTCAAACTATTAGTATGCTCATACTATAGTAGTAGTAGTAGTATTCTTCTTTTGATGTGTTGTTCCTTATGAAACTATAGAACGTTGCTTAAAACAAGTATTTGATGTTAATGGAATGAATTTATAATTTTTGCTTAACTATGTGAGAAGAATTTTTTCATACGAATAATTTTATATATAGACTTTTTTTTTGTTTTCTTATTATTCAAAGAATCCATTAAAACATCTTTTTTTTATGTAGTTTTCTTTTAACACATAAGCATTTTCCATTTCGTGACAATGTTTGCTTGACAGTATTTATAGATTAATAGAATATTCTAAATACTCTGAACTAAATATTCCTTATAACGAATATTTTCTTCATGCTATGGAGTTTACGAAACAGTTCTATTATATAGAGTAATACTATCCGTAACGATATCAGTTAGCAGGACAAAGTTTTGAAAAAAAATTTGTGTTTAAAAAAATAATGACCTTTACAAGGTTTATTTGTTCTAGTGTTTGACAGTGATTATTTTTTTTTCTTTTGGTGCATTCTATAATTTAGTAAATAAGACGTTGTTGGGAAAGAATTGGTTTTTTCTTTTTAAATAATATTTGCTTTTATAGCAATTATTGAAATGTTTCTTTGAAGAAATATATTCAATCTGTAAACATTATTTGTACTGTTGTTGTAAGATTTCAATTAATTTTCTCTTAGTTTATATTCTATGCAAATTGAAAAAATGCTAAGAACTTTTTAATATTATCTAAATATATTCAAGACAAAATATTTGAATGACATTTTCTTTCTTATACTGATAAACATTTCTATTTTTGTATATATTTATTTCATACTCTATCTTATAAGAATAATGTCTATCAGACATTGGTAAACTTTTGATATTTATTAATTTAAAGGTTGCCATTTATGATTTAATTTGTTTGTATTATTCTATCGTGATTGATTTTTCTTTTTTTTTCTCAATTAATTTCTTATATTTAGGAAACTGCTCGTCGAGTAGCTCGAGTATCGATTGAAAGTAAAATTGATATGGATGAAGAACGTTATGTCGATGGATTTAAACCATATATGATGGATGTTGTTAAAGCTTGGGTTGATGGACAAAGTTTTGCTAGTATATGTCAAATGACATCAATTTATGAAGGTAATTATCAATAGAAAGAAAAACATAACGAAAATTATAGTTTCTCTTGTGTTTTGTTTTTTTTATTCTTTAGGATCAATTATACGTTGTATACGACGACTAGAAGAATTACTTCGACAAATGTGTTGTGCTGCTAAAGCTATTGGTAATAGTGAACTTGAAGTTAAATTTACTGAAGGTAGAATTTAATAAAGAAAAAAAATTAAAAAAAAAAAACGAATTTTTTTTTTTCATAGGTACACAAAAAATAAAACGTGATATCATTTTTGCAGCATCGTTATATTTATAAATTTTGTATTGATTTCATCTCATGAAATATCTCTTGTCTTTTGTTTTTTCTTTTTCTTTTTTTTTGTGTTTAATTGTTATTTGTTAACAAAAGAAAGAAAAAACAAATAAACTTAAAATTTGAAGATTTGCTTTAGCAAAAGAATCAAAGAAAAAAATTAATCATTTTCTTGAATTATTAAATTATAATCGATTATCATTGAAAAAATTAGCATAGATTTTTATAAATAATAGCTTCTTTTTTTTTTTTTTATTCGTAATTGATATAGACATTTATTTAAATTAATACTTCAGTTCTAAGAATTGATGTTCTTATTATGCATAAGAAAATCTGATAAAATTAGAAAATAGATCGTAATGACTTTATGTAGTACATCCAAAACGGAAATTGAAGATGCATAAATAAATAATTTGATTATGGAAATTTCATGTCCTTCGCTAAGAAAAAAAAAGCACAATCGTATTCTAGGGATATATCGAAAAATGTTTATTTTCTTTCTTTTTTTCTTACCTTGACAAAGTCTTATATTTTTAAGTAAATCAATGATCAATTATATTTCATATTTTTAAAAATTCTTCTTTTAAAAAAAAAAAAAAAAAAAAACTTGAATTGCCAATAAAAATGAATCAAAAAAAGAAACATAAAAGAATTATTCTCGTTTCATTGACTTTATTTTTATTACTAATCGACAATAATATAGTTCATATGTTTGAATATTAAGAAATTAAATTAGTTAATTAAAATTATCTATTCTTTTTTTCTTTAATGTCTTTTCAAATTATTGATATTTTTTTTTTTTTTTTTTGTTAAATTGACAACTATCAAAAACCCACGTAAAAAAACATTTTTGTTACAGTGAAATTGAATCTAAACATAATATTTTTTTTTTATTATCAATTACTATATCATATGATTCATGATAATATAAAATAAAACATAAGTAATCGTTCACCATCTGTTTCTTTATATTGACAAATAATATATAACTTGTATGGGCGGAGTATTTATTTGTAGAAAGACAAAGAAAAAACCTCACTATTGTTATCATATGCAAATCATATGAATGACTTTTTTTTGTTTTGTCTTTTCAATAAACTGGCACGCACATTTGACATTAATTAAAGAGATTTAAACCTATGCGTATTTTGTCATGTGACGATATAAAATCAAGATTAGATAGTTCTTTGTTAGTCAAAGATTTTCATGATGATGATATTTTGAATGAATACTTTTAGAAATACAGATTAGTATTACAAAACAACATTGTCATCAGTCAGTCATTTGTCCTTGCCTCATCATCGTAAACACATACAAACATGCTAAACAAATAGACTTAGTCGTCAGCCAACTAGCCTCTTCACCCAATAATAGTGCATGTCTATTTATTAAGTGAGTCTTAGTAGTTGTGTCGGCGCAGCATGAAGCAGTATCGATCTGCTATAGAAAACGGATAGATAGGAAAAAACAAGAAGCGTAATTCGATCAGCTCGTCATATGCATTCAGAACTCTTTTTTTTTTTTTTTTATTCAACCAGTTGTCGCAAGATAAGGAACAGAATGAGGAAAAAAAGAAGAATTGTTAATTGTCAACGAGATAGATAGGGAATTTTTGTTTTTTCTTTTCAATTTTTATATTAACTCTATAGCATAATTTTTCTTTGCTTTTGTCTTTTAATCCTTTAAAATAAGTAAGGTTATTATTGTACCATAATATGTACTCAAATGATATTCTATATTTAATCATTAAAAAAAAACAGAAAAAAAAAGTATATAAATGATGTTTATAATGTCTTCTGGCCTATATTATTTGTCATATCTCGTTATCGTAACTGGATGTTTATTGGAATTTTGTCGAGCGACAACAGATCTTCCATCTCATTATGTTTCTATTCGGTGATCAAAACAATAATAATCTAATTTGATGTCAAACTAGTGAATTCGTTTACCGCTCGATCGGGCAAAATCTGGTTAATGTTAACTATTCTATTGATAAGAAAATAAAACTTTTTATATTTCTCTTACAAATGTATAGTTTCGCTTGTTCGGGTGTTTTGTTTTTCTTTCTTCTCTCTCTTTCTTATGACAGATATTCATCTGATTCTTGTTATCAATAGTAAATTATTGTTATTATTATTATTATTTCTTTTTTTTATTATTCGTACAAATCAAAACATTTTTAGATCACACAGAAAAAATAAAAATCCGTGACCTTTTTATTCTCGTTGTTATAATAAGGAAGTCGATATAAGTATGGGGGGGAAAAGCTGCTATTTCAATAGTAAAAAGTAACGATAGAAATAAGGAAAGAAAAAAATACAAGAAAGAGATCAAATACATTTTATTGTGGTAAAGTCGTTAGGAACATCGAGAAGAGAGAAGAAAAAAAACTACCACAATGTCGCTTGTAAACGACCACCAGAATAGAAATTGAAATATAGAGAAAAAGAGAGGAATTGTGTTGAGTCGTCATTAAATTGTTTTTCCTTCAAATTTTTCTTTTTGTCGGCTGCTTCATCGGTTTCGGTCTTATAACTGACAAAGTGTAATGCTTTGTCTTTTTTCTTTTCTCGTTCTTCGATACTCCTTCTTTTCTCTCTTCTTTTAGTGCCTTTCTCTCTCGACATCGTCCTTTTGTCAGTTAAAGCTCGTCATCAAATTGCGTGAACAATCGTCTTTTGTATTAGAAAGCAACAACGCGTGTGTGTCAGAACATATTGTAGTCGTTTGTGTTGTTGTTGTTGTTGTTGTTGTATTACTTTTCACATCTTTCTTTTTTTGTTTCTTCCTTTTTCTTTCGTACGATATATGCATACACATCATCATCATCACTACCGGGTAAGGTGATCTCTTCTTTTCTTATATGCATACCTAATTATTCAATGACAGCACATCATCGCCGAGTTGACAATAATGATGAAGACTATTCAATGAAATTTCAAGAAAAACGGAAAAGAAATTCAAGTTTTTTTTTTCCTCCCTTTCGTTCTTGTGAGATGGTGTGACTTCCATTGACATCTTATTAAAATCGTTCAACACATATATCCATCGTTCTGTCATCATTATTGTCCTGCTGTGTTCATCCATTCACATAGTCTCATCATTTTTATCATTGAGTGTTTGCGCTTTTTACTACGTCTATTTTACATTCATTTTTTTTCTCTCTATCTTCATCTTCTTTTTCTAGTTTTTTTTTACTTGTTTTTTTTCTAGTATTCGCACATATTAAATGATGGCACCACTCAATAGTTCAGTCGTATTTAAATTAAAATATTTATTGTAAATTATTATATCGTTATCTTCTTATTCAATATTATTAATTTATATCAATTAGATATATCTTGACATATATATTCCTTCAATTTAATCGTTCCAAAAAAAAAAAAAAACTTAGTTTCTTTTATATATTGTATGAACATCAATTAAAAACCAAGTAATGGGTAATGCAAATTCGGGAAAAAAAGGCGATCAAATTGAAAATGGTAAGAAGCAAATTTGCACACAAATAGTTATTTAGTCTCATGAGATTCATAGATGCGTTCAAAAAAAAAGCAAAATGATGATAGATGATTGAATAGATAGATAGATATTTTTATTTGATGAGTTTTTTTTTTTTTTGTCATAGATATCTAAAGATATGAAGACATCACTATAATATTTGTAATGTTTTAAAAAAAAAACATTTCGATCACCACATATGTGTGAATCTTATATCATAACAATGAAGTATATGATTGATTTTTGGTTTTTTCTTTTTGATTAACATCTGGATATGTTTATGATATAAAAAATATGTTAATGATGAAATTTCTAATTGATAAATAAAGTCAAATTTAAATAATATCATAAAAAAAAATGTATCACTATGTATCGTTTTATCATTGAATTGTTTTTTTGTCTCTTATAAAAGTAAATTTTCTATTTTTTTCATCGGTGTTTTTTTATCGACGAAACTAATATCCGGTAGTAAGCAAGAGAAAATTGTTTCCTCCTTGATTTTAAGATATTATTTGATTTCAATAAAATCAATTTAAGAAAATGAGAGAAACTACTAAATAATAGACTTGAATGAAGCAATTAGTTGTCTAGTCTCAAGTATCATATATACAGGGCTGGCCCGAGTCAGCAAACATTGGGGAGTTGTCGCGATTTTTTTGGGGGTTGTTCCGGATTTTGCAATGCGAATAAAACTTTTTTCTAGCACTATTCAAGAAAAAAAAATCGTTTTCGCTGGGGGAAAAACGAAGATTTTCGATTATTGGGGGGGTTGTCACAACCCCAAAACCCCCTATCGGGCCAGCCCTGCATATATATAACTTTGAAAGATTTGATTGATTAATTTATTTAGTTATATCAAAGTTTGTTTATTTAAAAGAAAATATAATAGTTTTATAAAAAAGAATAAATTGCCTTTTTCAAAAAAAAAAGAAAAAAGATATCTGATAGGTTTGAATGATAAATCAATTTTATTTTAAGAAAAGAAATTTGTACTTTTCTTTTTGATAAAAATAAATTTGCAGATTTAGTTTATATCATTTCTTTTTTTATAACAAAAAAAGAAAACTAAATTACTTTAATATAAAACTACACTAAAAGATATTGTTCTAATGTAATATTTAAGGATAAAAGAAAATATAATTATAGATGGTTAATTTGGTAATATCATAATACCTGACTTTTTCTTTTTTTCTTCTTTAAGTCAATATGATCTCTATCTTTTCTTTCTATTTTATTTTTGTTTTTGTGGTATTGTAACTATATATTTATCTAAGAATAAATTTCGACGCATTACCTATCTCATTTATTTTTTTTTCTTCGACTTCTGGAAATATTCTTCCGTTTCAAACTTGTCAGATTCATATATTAGAGATCTTCTCGGAAGAAGAAAAAAAAAGAAAACTCATGTTACTAATTATTCTTATTTGACAGTGAAAAAATATAACTGATTTTAATAAGGAAATACTTAATCGATTATATTATCAAAATAATACATGTTTATAAAATAAAAATAATATAATGAATATGTGCTATAGATGAAATAGAAATAGTTATTCAACACTAATCGAGTAAACAAAAAAAGAAATGCATTAAATATCAACGAATAAATCATATTTGTTAACTATATAACACTTGAAAATTATAATCGATTATTATATTTATAAGTTTCCGTCAATTATTTATTATTTATGTTTAAAAGAAATGAATTTCCTTATTAAAGTATTAAGTAGTCTTAAAATTTTGATATATTTGTAATTCTTCAATACATTTCAATAGACTAAAATAAAGATACATAATCTATCAGCTCTTTTTTTATGACTTTGTAAACAGATCAACTGCATGAGAATTCTCCTACGTAAAAACAAATAAATGTAATACTAAAATTAATCTTTTGTAAAATAAATAGCATATCATTGGTTATTTTTAGCGTATTCACATTATACTTGTTAATATATAAAAATAAAATTTCATAAAAGCTACTTTATTCAAATAGTTTCTTTTTTTTTTAAATGTCATGTTTTCTCTTGGCTCAATTTTCTTTATAATAGAAATTAAGATAAGTTTTGTCATTAAAGTGAAGGACTTACAAATACTTTTACAAAGGGCTGATCCAATCTAGAGTTATTCTAAGTAGACGAAAATTTTTTGAAAGACACATTTAAACATTCTGATTACTCTTTCGGTTTGAGCGCTTTCATGACCATTCACAACATTCTAAAACTAGCCACTTGCATCTTACAGGCTGAATGAAAATGTTTTAAAAGGCAACTATTTCATCAGAATAACGTCCCAACAGGTTTTTTTCACAGTATTTTTGACATATATAGGTCATACATTAATAAGTCATTTTTACTCGTAAAACACATTAAAATACTGTGGAAGAAAAAATTTTTGCATGTTTTCCAGATGCAAGCTTTACTTGTTTAAGCATTTTCTTTACATCTTTTATGATGCAAAGTGCCTTGCTTCAGTATTTTTGAAATGGAAATACAAACGCTCAAATGAGAACCGTGATTAGAACGCTTAAAAATGTCTACAGAAAGTCTTATCTACTTAGGATATGTAAGATCTGTAATATTTGTATTCATCAGTGGTGTAACTAATTGTTTTCTTTATTTGTGAGCAATTTAACAATCTAATTATTTTGAGAAGCTGACAGCTACCGGCCATTGTTATTGCTTTCAAAAATTCCTTGGACAACGAACGTTTGGAGAATCTAGTTATTGTCAGCATATTAAAGCAACCATGGGCAGTAAAATTTCAAGCCATAGGTAATTGTCTAATGACGTACAGCTGAATACGCCATTGGTTCTAATCATAAAACTTTTTTGCTAGTGGAAAAACCGATAATTTCACTTGTCTTCTGTTAAAAAGAAAATATCGTAATTTTTTTAAAAAGTTCACAAGATCTTTCCTTATAATGACTGCTTTAAATAGTAGCAGCGCCAGGATTTGTGGCCAAAGGAGCCTGAGCATCTCTCAGCTCTTCCGTGAGGCTACCTTTGACAAAAACTTTTTAAATTTTCAAAGGGCTTAGACTCTCCATGTGGCGCCATCACTAGTTTCAAAGTCACATCATTTTGATAATATTTCTAAGTATTAATGAATCAATACAAAGTTTGAGATTTTCGATTTAATTTCACTCACCATCAACGTTTTTTAATTAACATCTTGTTTATATTCGAATATAGACTTTTTTTGAAGTTTTATCTCATTATTGTAAGACTTATTTGTACCTATATAGAAAATCGAAAGAAAACAATTATAGTACCTTAAGAATCATTGATATGAGTATCGATGAATAAAGTTCGTTGAATTGAAAACAATGTACCGACATCTAAATCATTGCTGAATGCATGTAGCAGAAGCAAGTTATTACCGTTAGTTTAAAATTGAAATAAAACTATTCATTTACACATCTGATATAGTTAATACTGACAAATATTCTAAATTTAAATGTTTTATAAACTAAATATTTTATCTCATTTTATATTTTTATGCGATAATATTCTTGAAATAGTGAATTTCAATGTAATTATTATTTAGTCTCTATCCCTTCCTTCTATATATCTTAGTTTATGCTTAAAAAAATATTATATGACATTTATATTAGAACTCATATTGAGTACATGTTTGATGATGATTTTAAAAAATAAAAAAGCAAAAATCATGTTTCATCTTTATTGAATTATCAAATAAAAAATATATAATAAATTTAAAAAGAGACTATGATTTCTATAAAGTAACAATGTAATGTTGTTTTTTAATTCAGAAATATAATACTAGCAAATATTTATCCAATAAAAAAAAAACAAGGTATTATTCATTGATGAATATAAAAGAAAATTAATTTTAGAAAATCTATTCAGTTGTATACAAGAAATAAAATCAATATTTTTGTATGTTGATCATACGTAATGTTTAAATGAATTACAAAATTTTGTATACAAAATAACTGCGTTTATTGTCTTCTGTTTTCAATATATTATCTATCTATATATATATGTCTATAATAATAATGCTATTCATTCTTTTTTTTTTGCTAACTTGGCGTCTTAGCCAAGTGTAATATTTTTTCTCTTTTCAATGATAAATAATCGACACCAATAACCTCTATGTCTTAAAAACTAATGATATCCTGTTTATAGAAAAACAACGAATGTGTTCTTATTTCTTTCTAATAAAAGCTTTTGTTCTATTTTCTTATCGCAAACTATTGTCTCGAAGGATTGATTGAACAAGAGTGTAATAAATAGAAAGAAAAACGATGAGAACGACAATAACAACAACAGCACACACACACGCATACATACATCTGCCTTCAATAGATTAAATCCATCATGTATTTTTGATGAGTGATATATATTTATAGAAAAATTATATCGCTAGAGTATTAATTCGTCTAAAGCAATTTACATTTTTAGTTCTTTTTTCCGTTTTTCTATATTGCATTTTCTTATTTACATTATGAACGGAAATGAGACGAAACAAAGACATAGGGAGGGGTGTTTTTTTCAAGAGACACAAGCAAAGAAGAAGAAAACAGAAAAAGAAAAAGAAGAAGAAGAAGAAGATTCTTAAGCTTATCGAAAAAAGTGGAAAAGAGATAATTTATGAATGTGAATGTCTATGTTTGCGCATGACATGATAAAAAGGAAAACGAGAAAGCCAAAAGAAAAAGCTAAATAATAGAAAAAGCACTAGCAAAGAATTAACATGCTGCGATGCATGCTTTAGTCTAGTGTATGTGTGCATAGACAAAATTATTTAGAAGAAAAAAAAATATTTAAGAAAAGAAAAAGAAAAAGAAGACGAAGAAGAAGAAGAAGAAACCGGAAAGTGTGTAAGAGATTGTGAACTCAACAGAAAAATAGACACATTGACAGTACGAAGACTAGATACGTATGGTAATGTCAAAATTATATTAAAATGCCATCATTTAAAGAACGTTTTCGTCCATCTCGAAAACATAAAAAAAATAAAGAAGCAGGTGTGACTGGTATAGATGAATCTATTAATTCTGCTGTTGCTAGTGCAATATCAACAAATACTAGTCATGCATCTAGAACAGGTAGGGGATCATTAACGACAATATCAATAGCAACAACAGCAATGGCATCAGCAGCAGTGACAGCAGCAGCCGCAGCACCAACAACAACCGGTAAAACTATCGATGAACATACCGGTTCTGCAGCATTCTCAACTTATCATTCTTATTATTTAATTGATCAATGTAAGTGATTGAAATATAGATATATATATATCCATAGTTAAAAATAGAATTTGTTTTTGCGTTTCGTTGAGTAAGTGTTTAATAAATACTTAGAACGATGAAGATAAATGTAATCCAAATTTCGTCAAAAAATTAGATTGACTGAAAGGAAAAAAAAAGAATTCTTAATTGAATTTCCGATAAAAATCTTCATGTACAAGTTAGATTCATTAAGCTATATTAATCTAATTTATAAACAGTTCAAAATGTAAAATGAATCTTTTATCACTACGTATTTTATTTAGAAAATAGCTTTAAATTATTTCAAAATATACAGTAAAAGAACAAGATGTTTGAATACCATTAAAGAGAAAGAAAAAACTGATATTATATTGATGAAAGTTTAAAATAAAAGGAAGAAAAAGAAAGTTTTTGTTTTGCTCTAAAGACAACAATCAAGAAACAGAAGTAACGAAACATCCTGTTTTACATAATATACGATGAAAGCCAAGAGAATAGACGAACATGTAGCATTTCCGTTCTTATGATCATCAAACCCAATATCCTATTTGTTGGCTATCATTATTACTATACTCAGAACAAAACAAAAATGAGAGAAAATAGCAATATATGTGTTTAGCAAAAACAAAAATCCCTTCTGGGTATTTACTGTGCATTCTATCTTTGAATAAGTATATATTTTTCTTATATATTGCCGAAAAATTCTGGGAAACAATAAGACAAGAAGATTTATTAACAAAAATATTTTACATCAAGTACTTCAAGATATAAAAGTAAAAGCATCATTAGTTTTTAGTCAATCAGTTAGTTATTTGAGTAAAGAAAATGGGTGATTTCCGTTTTTATGAAGTCTATTTATATCTATATATATAATGCTAGTCAAAAATATATGAGAACAACATATTTTTTTTACTTCTCTATGATATGAAAGATTTTAACTCAAGTTTAAATAGCCAACGAAGTTCTTTGTCAAATGCATTCCATATCAAAACAAAATTTCATAGATAGAGCAAGAGAAAAAAGTTTCTGAAAAACCAAACATAGTGGTTATTAGATTTCAGAAGATTGTATGAAAATTGTTTGTTAATAGTATCATTGAAAAGAGCAATAGTATCTGAACAAAATGAGAAGTTGCTGCGTTTTCTGCAATTTTTCCTTATAAATATATAATTATCACCAAAAGTGAAATTTATCAAAACATGACTGAACATCACACTTACTTGTTCTTGGTGTCATTTATAACTTTATAAAGAAAGGTCATAGAAAACGTGGTGACCCAATATTTCAGACAGATGTTTTTACTCTTCAAGATAAACTCGTTTCCAAGAATAGAAAATCATCCACAAGAAAAATTTCACGCCGCATAATAGGAGATGATGACTTTCTCAAAATGTTTTTTTAAGAATTCTGTGGATTCTAGAAAGCTTTAGTATCTACAAAGGTTTTTGTTTTTTTTAATTAAAATTAGTTTTTTCCTAGTAAAAGACTTACTATTCCGACAGTTAGTTGCTTATAACATCTATTCGAATATACGACTAGTTTCTATATATATACATATGTTACCAAAAAAATAGCCCACAATAGAAGTTCAAGGATTTGTATTCTAGAAGATTAGTACTGTTAACAACTAACTTTGACAGTCTTCTGCAATCTCAAAACTACTATTTATGGTTTTACGGAAACCATATTCCTATAATCCTTCTATGTAATTTCGATATAGAATGTATTTGATAGAGAATTTCATTGGTTGCTTCAATTATTATTTAGCTTTGAGTTAAAATACTCAGGATCATAGAAAAAGAAATCAAAAAGACATTGTAATTATATATTTGATCAGCACTTTATATATATATATATATGTATGTACTGATTAATGTTTAAGAAAGCTAAATGAACATTTTCTTCTCTAGACATGCGCAAATAGTTGACTATATAAATTTAATTTCTTTACATATATAGCAGAAAGAAATAGCACGTCTATTGTCATAGTGTGATGACTATCAAGTAATTCGTTGTGGCACGCACGAAAACCATATAATAAAGTAATTAGAAGAAAAATAACAACAAAGAATATCTTAAAAGCTTAAGTTTTTAAAAGCTCAATAAAAAAAAGAAAGAAATTAGTCATATAATAAATCAATGTCTTACAAAGGGAAAAAAAACATTAGCGAAAAAATGCTACTCAGTGTCCTTTTCTTCTTTTTTCCTTTTTTTTTTTATTTTTATCAATAACAAATATAGACTCTGACAAAATATATATTGTATGTTTCTTTTTTTGTGTTTGCTCGTGCTCTTAATAATTCACTCTACTGCATGAAAGACACATTATCAACAACTCATAGTATTTAATGAATTAGATTAGGATTTGAGATAAGCTTCTTTTAGAAAATTTATCAGCCTTGTGATAGGTGATGACATAAATTAATAATAAAAACTTAGGACGAATCAAATCAGATGTCTTTTTTTTTTTTCCTTCTTCTTTTTTGTTTCCTTCAATTGAAATAGACATTATATAAAAAGAAAATCCAACTCATAGGGTTACATTGACACTGATGTATAAAAAATTTCTTATGTGAACGTTTTTTACGCATGAGAATGTCAAAAATATAGGAGAAAAAAAAAAATAACATTAATTAAATATCTTTTTCTGATTACATTAGTTTTATATCTATCAGAATAGCACGAGATATTAATAAAGTAATTCATTAGATTTCGTCTAAAACTATATTTATATCTGTCTTTTGTAGAAATGAAATAAAACAGTAACATTCTAATAAGACTATTGTTGCTTTCTTTCACACGCATCAATGAACTCCCATAAGCAAGCAATTCTATTATTCAGAAACACGCTAGTTGATGATTAACATGCAAAAAAAGAAATGACCTGTCTACCAAATCGATTATCATAATCATTCTCTTCATTTTTTTTTCTTCGAATCTACTATAATGCATAACGATCTATCGAATATGATTGTATTGTTTACTACTGATATTTGTTTCATTGTATCCAAGATCAATATATTAGTAGTTCTATCAATCATTTCTGTATAATTGAACTAGAATATAGGCACAATTGTTAACATAGAAATGTTGCTCTAGGGCGAAACAATCAAATTCATACATCTAATAGTATATTTAAATAATATCATAAAATGTAACTAAAAAAAAAGTGTAGAGTCAAGGGTGTCAACGCCCCCTTTTTTTTAGTGTATCAACATATAAAAAATGATCGTCAAGAGAAAATAAAAATGATGAATAAAGTGTCAAGATCTCTTTTGAATATAAAGAACGAAATAAAAAAAAAATACTAGACGAATAAATAGAAGAAAAATGTACTTTTACGATTATGATCCGTCAACAATACTGTCAATGTAATGATAGTGTCTATTTATACTTGTACAAATACATTGGTACATGAAGAGTAAAACTTCTTTCCTATTCTTGTTCTCTTCGTATAATTCTTTGCTTGCATGCATGCCTGGTTCTTTTCTCTTGCTTACTCTTTCACTTCTTTCTTTTTTCCATGCGCTTATATGCTCTTTCTCGTTCTCTCTCCTTCTTTCCTTCATTCGTTCGTTCGCTCTGTCTCTCGCTCGCTCGCTTGTTCGTTGTGTCAGAAAGATATTGCGATAAATATCTCTCGCGTCGTCGCACCACGCTCATGCCCAAGAAATCAAAAAAGCCGATAGACTATCTCTCTTTCTCTCTCTCTCTTCTCTCAGTCTGACTGCTTACTGACTGTTCGTCTACACTACACCAACATCACTACCATCACTGACGACAAGAAACAAAACAAGTAAAAGCAACATCAACAACGACAATAACCTATTGCCACTGCCATTACCTTTACTGCTGTCACACTAGCATGAGATAGAGACATAAAGTGTACCATACACATAGAAAGTATCCTAATATTAGTATCAGAACGTTTAAATAGACAGTCTTATTTGTCGGTGTCTGTCAATACTGCGTCTAGTCAGTCATGCAGGCGCTGAAAGAACGTATATCGTCAAAATTAAGTGAGAAAAGCAAGTCCAAAGATAAAGAAGGATCTTCATCGCTCAAAAGTAGTAGTTCCGTCGATGGTAAACATTCAACAACACATGATTCACATCATCATCACACAACTTCATCTTCATCCTCAACAGTAGCAGCAAGTATAGCTGCAATCAATGCTCAATCAGCTGAAAAAGGTATTTGAATATATAGATGAGAAGAAAAATAAATAAAATTTATTATTATATTTCCCGTCTTTGAGAAAATATTTTAGTTAAAAAACAAAACAAAAGAAATAGACACATGTTGCCAATATATCGAGCGTGACATTTTCTATATGTGTGCTTGACATTTACATATCTTCTCGAAGTTTTTTTTTTAGCGTCTCCTTCTCTTTTTTTCTGATATGCGTTTGTGTACTCGAGAACGTTCGATGAAAATTGAAGAGAAGAGTTTTTGATAGAAAGTAAAAGTGGCCATCCATCGGAAATCACTAGAAGTATGTGAATGCATGTTGAAATATCATTTTTCTTTTCAATTTGCTCGTGTTGTCTACGTGAGCACAATTCTTTTTTTTTTTTTATTCTTTTATGCAAAAGAAGAAGAAAAAAAACAAGAAACTAAAAATGTGCATGTTAATGAAAAGGTGTCACATATACAGAAACAAGACATAATTATGTATGTAACAGCTGTATACATCTATTACTTGAGTTTGTTTAGAGGATGGATTTAGTTTTATAACAAAAAAAAAAAATATATACTTCTATTGCATGTTGATGAACACGAGAGAGTTTTTTCTTTTGTTCCCAAATTATATGAGCTTTTTTACATGAATCTTTGCGTTGTATAGTAATGAGTTGTTCTGTGTTCAGTGCACTGGATATTATTAGAAAAAAATAACACGACGCAGAGAAGAAAGAAAAAAGAAGAAAACGAAGGAGAAGAAGAAAAACAAGAAGATTGAGCATTGTCGATGTGCTATTACTGGTACTGCTGGAATAGTTATTGTTGT